GGGCTCCCAGGGCTGAGCCCACCTGAAGGGGCGGGGATGCGAAGGGACTCTTGCTGCTCTCCTACCTCTTCCAGGTGAGGGAGGGTAGCCAAAGAGACCCAGGCTAGCCCTGAATGTCTGCCCATCCCTGAGGGCCTCACCTGTAGATGTCTGACCTGGGAGGAAATATCCCACTTGCCTGGACAAAGGTCGAGGAAGGTGCAATCAGGTGTGGCCCAGACTAGACTTGGGACTGGATTTCAGGATGCCTCTTTTCCAAGCCATGTTGCTCCTTCCTAGCAGTGCTTGAATTTAGAAGGTAAGGAAGCTCCAAGTCCAAGCTAAAGCGGTACGAGAGTTGTTTCAAAAGTCATTTTAATGTCTGTGTTTCTTTCTAATTATAGGATTATTACTTTTGATTATAGAAATGTTGGACTTTCTTCAGAAAAGTGTAAAAGGACCAGAAACCCTCCTGAATCCCTCATGCAGCCAGGTTAAATCATGTGAAACTGTTTCTTTTGTTAATAAAAAACGTTATATAGCCACAGATTCATCTTGATCAGTCAGATATTAACATTTTGCTATATTTCCTCAGCTTTTTTTCTTTCAATGAGGACTGCTTTGAAAGATGTGAGATTCACAGCTTTGAGGGTAGATGTCCAAATCCAACTATCTAATTAGCTCAAAAATCTAACAATAAAATGAGGTAACTCATAGAATAAAAATTAGTATTAGATTTAAATTTCATATATTGTAAATATATAAGCCCTAAATAAATTCACTTATTTTAAACAGTGAAATCAGCTAATAGTAATTTTTTCTCTAGTCTCCACCCTTTCCCCCTGCTGATATCTTTCTGCTAAGGAACATCCATGTGAACTGAGTCATTCATTCCACAGATATTCATTGAACACTTACTGTGCTTGGGGAGACTAATGCCCCTGTTGTAACAGACCTCAAAATTCAGAGGGAGAAGACACACCAGTGCCATAATCATAAACTTAAAAACAACACAAAGAATGAGCATATTGTTTACTTATTTTATTATTTTTTAAAGATTTATTTTATTTATTTATGCATACAAGAGCTGGGGTACAGGCCAGAGGTGTGGGGGATGAGAGGATTCGCCAGAGACAGAGTAGGGAGCAGAACAGGCGGATCTATTGAAATACACTGCTGAGGGGAGCAGCAGGCGAGACAGGAAAGGTCTGCTGTGCCATGTGGGTTAGCTCCCTGGCAGGGGATCAAACTTATGTTGCAGGGGCTGCAGATAGCTTCATAGTGCTGAGACTTAACCCCTTGTACCACCAGGGAGGCCCTGCATAAACCGATGACCACTGCTTGCTGAAGTAGAGATTAAAGTTTTTAGTACACTTCTCAGAGTAGGCCTACTGAGAGAGAGAATGTTGCATTTGAACAGAGACCTAAAAGGCAGGGGAGCTTTGCAGACCTATGGGAGAGGGGTAGGCTAAGCAGAGGGAGCAGTGTGTTGTGCTTAAGGGCCAGCAAGGAATCTGTGTGGCTTTTGGAGCAGGTGAGAGAGAAAGAGGTGTAGGTGACCAGGTGAGGGACATTGGGAATTGGGGCCATGGGGAGCTATGTGGCTTTTACTGGAAGCTACTGGAGGATTTGGGGTGAGGCACTAGCTGTGTCTTGAGAGTAGACTTGGGGTCCAGGATGAAGCAGGGAGATGGTTAGAGGCTCTTTCAGCCCTCTGTGTGAGAGGATGCTTATGGCCCAGAATGGGACAGTAGAGGTGGAGGCCACCAGTAGGGGTTGGGGCCTTCCTACAAGTAGAGATGAATGACTTATATGTAGAGGAGAAAAGAAATAGAAGAGGCAAAGTTTATTGCCTTACAACTTCATCAGCCGCATGGACAGAGATGGGGGGGGTGAAGTCAGGAGGGAGGGCAGGAGCTTGGCTTTGGCTTTGTCATGCTCACAATGTTAGATATACGTGTGCTGTCAGTCAGCAGTTGGATATGTGAGTCTGGAGGGCACAGGGGAAGGCGGGACTGCAAATAGTTGCCACCTTGACATACAGTCTGAGGCAAGGACCAGGTGCAAGGACTGAGCCTTGGAACTTGTCCAAATTAAGAAGTCAGGGATAAGGAGCTGCCTCTAGGGTCTCTGGAACACCAGAAGAGCCGTGTCCTGGAAGCCAAGGGGAGCATGGGTTTCTAGGAGGAGGGAGAGAGTCACTCCTGGTCAGAGGCTGCAGTCTGGGCAGATCATCTGAGAATGAGCCCCTGCCCTTGGAGGTCATTGGTGATGTGGGCAAAGGGCTTCTTTGACCATGACAAGGGAAGATCTGCTGAGACCAAAAAAAAAACCAGTGTCCCGTGGTTGGACCAGCAGAGGGTGGCTGCCTGACCCCCCCGCCCAGCACCTCTACGGGGGCTCCTATCTAGCCATCCATGTTGAGCACCAGTGCACCAAAGCTGTTGGTGTGCAGAGGGAGTGACCTTGGGTGTGTCCCAGGTCTGCACATGGACAAGATAGGCACTGCCGCCAGAGGGCGCCCGCACGTTTCAGGGGATTCCACAAACAAAGGCCCCTCAGAAAGGAGCCTGGAGTTTGAGTCGCACCAAGACTGTCCTCAAGGAAGCGGCTCATTTCATCCACAGGAGGGTTATTTCTGCCCTTTAGAGAAGCCGCCAACATTTCCCTGTGAGGCCCAGTTCAACCCGTGACTGTGTGTTGGTCCGGATTTGGTCTGAGCCTGTGGGTTCACTAGAAGTTTCAGTGGGGAGGAGGATATTTTCTCAGATTATTGACGCTGTTTCTCCCCCATGGGGTAAGGGTGGGGGTGCTGGTTGCTGGCTCTGACTCCTGGACTTGAGTAACTAACTGCACCACATCAAAGGACACACCCCATTTCCCTGGGGCTCAGTCTGTGGCAGTTGAGGCACAAAGGGTCCTTGCTTACCTTATCACCTGTGCCCCTTTGTTAGTTCCCTTTAATCTTGCTTTCCCCTTATTTTTCAAATTTCAGGAAAATACATTTATCTTATCGGAGAGAACAATATAAAAGGGTACCTAGAATAGGGATACTAGGGCCCCTCCTCTAAATTCCAAATACCACCCAAAGGCAAACACTGTTACCTCTTCTAGACATTTCCTTTTACAGTTCACCACCACCCCACCACCACCACTGCCCCGCTCCCCCATTTCTATGCAGGCAGATGGCACCATGCATCCTGACCCGTTACTTTCTCTTCCACTGAGTGTATCTTGGGCTTCCACATTTCACTATTTCAGTGCAGCCAAGTTCTCTCAGGAGCAGCAGTGGGCCCTGTTTAGTACTCACGCTCTATTGCTATTGATTTAGGTTGTTTCTAGTTTGAGGTTGTTAGAAAGAATGTTCCAGTGAACTCCATTGTTTTTGTGTCTTCTGCTTTTGTAAAGATTGTAGGATAAGTTCTTGCCATTGGAGTTTCTGAGGCCAAGGTTAGGGACTCCTCTAATTTTGAGATGCTGCCAAATTGATCTTTTGATTTGTTGTTTACCTGCCCACAAACCAGAGTACTTGTGAGACTGTTTGTCTCCTTCCTACCCCCATACCCTCCCTACTGGGCATGACCAGGCCTCTACCAGTATGGAAGGTAGTAAAAGCTGCCTCCCTTTAATTCTCATTCCTCTCTGCCAATAGTTGATTTGGCTGCCCCAGATCCTTCAGAGTCTCATCCCTCCCTCAGGCGGGCATTCCTACATGAGGACCTACCAGAAGGCTACCCCTGGGTCCTGTCCTGACTGCCTGCTGCCTGCTGTGGGACCTTGGCAGATCCCACAAGTTGGCTCGTATCTAGAATGCACTAGGAATTTTCATTTGAACCTAGCCATGGTTCCACTAGCCATGTGCCAAAAGGTTTTTGAAGTAGGGTATGATAGTGACCAGGAAGTGTGTGAAAAGTTTCACAAAACAGCATGCCCCCCTCATTATAGGCAGTGTACGCTGATGTTTTTGGCTTCGTTTTTTCAAACGCTGGCCATGAGAACTGGCATCTCTGTTCTTCGAAAGAGACTCCTAGGAGTTCTGATGAGGCTATCCTGTGGTTGGGGGTTTTCTGTGGCCTTAGAGACATAGAAAACATCCTTTACACACTATCTTTATAATGAGCCCTTTCGTCCTTGGAGGGTGGCCCTAAGGAATGTATTATGAAGGGGGGGCTGTGCTAGAGACCCTGACTTGACCTTCACAGATCTCCAGGGCCTTTTCTCCTTAGATTGCTGCCAATCTGTGCCCCCACTATCTGACATAGAGTGTGAGTCAGCCCTTTCTGGCTTTCTACCTGCTCATATGCTGGGGCCAGGGGCAGGATGGGAGAGCAGGGCAGGAACTCAATAAGGAGGGCTTGGGAAGCCCTACCACAAAGCTTTGTAGAGGGTCCTTCCTCCTCACTCTCTGCCTCCTAACTTTTTCTTGCTTTATGTTGAGAGGGGTGGCCCTTCTCTAATTATAGCACATGCCCAACCTAATTAAAGCCTGGACTAATTTGTTAATAACTTTGAGAACTGAGAGCCTTTGCCTTGGGCAGTGTCATGGCCCCTGGGTAGCTGCAGGGGAGTGATGCCAAGGGGGGCTAGTGAAAGAATTTAAGGATGGTCCCTGAGGCCCTGCTGGGAGGTGAGCAGTATTGGACCATATGGGGACCACCACGTACAGCTCGCACACGTCCTTCCTGACCAGCTCTCCTGCCCATAGGTTGTGGGATTTTTCCACTGCCCAGGAGTCCCAGGTGCCCCTGAAACATGGCACCAGGCAGGATGTTGCCATTTTCATTCTATTTAAACAAATGGTCCTTAGTTGATGCCTTTAAACTTAAAAATATCTCTGGTTCTCCTTTTCATAAAAGCAGTGTCTGTTTGCAGTAGAAACTTCAGGAAATACAGAAAAGGGAAAAAACCGCCCATGACCCCACCCCAATGACTCATGACCCCAAATGTGTTAACATTTTGGTGGAGGAGTCTCATGACTGCTCCCTTTTCTCCTAGCTGACTCATTTTATTGTCCCCCCCAGGGAAGTCACACCTGGCCATCGTGCAGAAGGTGAACAATGAGGGTGAAGGTGACCCCTTCTATGAGGTGCTTGGCCTGGTCACCCTGGAGGATGTCATTGAGGAGATCATCAAGTCCGAGATCCTGGACGAGTCGGATATGTACAGTGAGTGCCACTCCCTATAGGCCTAGCACTCCTTTCCAGCTCAGACCTGAAACCAGCTCTCCCATGGTGGAAAGCTCACAGTGTCAGGATGTGGGAGCCTGGCTACCTGAGGCCCAAGAACTCAGTGCTCCTGCTTGCCTGGAAGGGAGGAGGCTGCCCTTATTCCTCCCAGCCTTGCGCATCAGCCTGGAACCATGCCAAGGCCCAGACATTGCTGCCTCTGTGCAAGAGGGGACCTCAGAGTTGGAGGCTGGAGGGCAGATGGCAGTCTGTTCCTGAGTGCTGGGGGCGGGGTGGAGGTAGGGGAGAGCAGCGTTCTCATTTCCAGGTTCTGTCTCTTGCAGCTGACAACCGAAGCCGCAAACGGGTGTGTGAGAAGAACAAGCGTGACTTCTCAGCTTTTAAGGATGCTGACAACGAACTCAAGGTGAAAATTTCACCCCAGCTGCTTCTGGCTGCACATCGCTTCCTGGCCACAGGTAAGAGCAAGAGGAGGGCCTTCACATATATTGATGGGATAAAGTCACAGAGGGAGAAATACTGGGTGACTGGCTGCTTCCCCCACTGCGGAGCCACAGAAATGAAAGGTTTAGGGAAAACACAGCTGCCCCTGGAAAGCGCCTCCCTCCATCCCTGGGGTGCTCCCTGCAGCTGGTTTTCCCTGTTAATGGGATACCTTGCAAACTCCTAGGAAGCATCCCAGTTAGTTTTGAAAATAGCTAGAGGAGAACTGAGGTGGGCAATGGGCCTCACAGGGTCCACAGAGGTTTGTGGAGTACAAGGGAGAAGGAGGTCAATCCAGGTGCCATGTGCCTACCCAGGTGAAACCCACAGCCCTTGCCCGCCTCATCTACCCTGAGGAGCCTGGATCCAGCTGTTCTGTCCCTCCTGCAACCACCCCCCCATCCCCCACCCCCGCCCAATGTTGGGTCCTACAAGACTTGACTTCTAGATCAATGGTATTTTTGTCTTCTCAACTTCTCATTCAAAATCGCTTGTGGACTTGGATGATTGATTTAAAAAAATGCCTGCCTTCTCTGCCCCCCACCCCCTCAATCTGACTTCCTTCCCAATCCCCACTTGCTAAAGGTATGATAATTCCTTTCCTTTCCTTTTCCTGCCAGATAGCGGTGATGATGACAGTATCATGTATCACGCACTTTCCGTACACCTAGAGTGTGTCTGAGAGCTTTATGTGCAACAGCCCATTTAACCTTACAGTGACCTATAAAGTTTGTAATAAAGTTTGTAATCTCCGTTTTATAGATGAGGGAATTGAGATGCAGATTAATTTGCCCACAGTTGTGCATTGTTAGCACAGGAACCCCTGTTCCCGCCCAACAGGCAGGCGGCCTGGAGTCTCAAAGTTGGGCACTGAGTGTTTTTCCCCATAAAGGGGCCTGGGCAGTACAGCACCTTCCAGGCCCCCAGAAAAGTCCTCTTCTCTCCTCCTGCAGAGGTGCCCCAGTTTAGCCCTTCTCTGATATCAGAGAAAATCCTGCTTCGGCTGCTCAAGTACCCAGATGTCATTCAGGAACTGAAGTTTGATGAGCACAAAAAATATCATGTTCACAATTACCTGTACACCCGAAATAAACCAGCTGACTACTTTATCCTCATCCTGCAGGTGAGTTGTGACCTCCCACCTCTTCCACACCCACCCTTTTGTGCCCACTCACCCTTCCTCCACTGGCCACCCTTTCCGTGAGAAGCCACCCTTGAGCCCCATGTCAGGGCCGGGCTCTGGAATCAGCTCTTCCTCATGTGCCTGTAGTCCCAATGTCTCCTTTCTTTTCCCTCTGACCTTGTCTTTTTTTCCAGTTGTGTTTTTCTGCTTGTGCTATAACCCTGATCCCGTGTGCTTTTAGGGGAAGGTGGAGGTGGAGGCCGGGAAGGAGAACATGAAGTTTGAGACAGGCGCCTTCTCCTACTACGGGACCATGGCCTTGTCCATAGTCCCCTCTGGTGAGTCACTGAGCTGTGCTTTGCTGGTCCCCATATGCCTAGAGGGGAGAGACCTTGAGTGGCAACCCAGAACCTAGGGCAGCCCAGATGACATGCAACCAAGGTGACTGGGCAGGGAGGAGGCCAGTGAGGGCAGAGCTTCCTGAGCCTGGAGGAGATGGCTTGCAAGGCAGAATGACTTGCCTCTTTGGACAGGATTCACATGGCGGAGGAAAGAAAGGGTATTCAGAGCAAAGGCTTGGAGTGAGCTGAAAGCTGTCCTGAGATGGTGAGGAGAGCAGAGGAGAAGGAAGTCTCTGGGAATAAGTGTGGGGTGCACCAGAAAGTTGATGGCTTTTGGCTGTGGTAAGAAGTGGGGCACTGTTAATGGCCTTTGAGCTGGGGCAGGTTTGCTAGCAATAGAATGGCAAGCTGGGCAAGCCACTGCATCCCTCACTGGCTATACCAGCAGGAACAGAATTTGAGAGGAGGCTATAGGACCTTGCTCTGTTGAGTGGGACAGGGGAATCCTGGGGGCAATGTGAGGGGGGTCCTATGTGTCCATGGCTGGGACCTGTTTGTCAGGCAACTTGCAGATAGTTTTGGCTTTTCAGTGGGCTTAGCCACTGCCTTTTGCTTAAGCATCTGTTTTCATGGAATAAAGGGATTCAAGAGCAAAGAGGGGCTTGATGCCCTCCAAGAAGGGTTTTGGAAAGTCCAGGGAAGGACCACTTTGGCCACCCCCATGTCCTCTGCTTCTCCAGAGGGAATTTAGGCTCTCCCTGACAGAAGAGCCTTGTGGTTGGAATTACTTGTCCCTTTCACACACAACCAACTTTCGACTGGACAGGAAGCCAGCAGAGCCCAAATCTCACCTAGCTCAACTCCTCACTAGAATGGAGCCTCTCCTGGGGCCCCAAGTTGCTGCAAGATGGTGAATAAAAGTTTGCTTTGGTGCCAGGGAGTGGGCCACATAGTGGGTGGTTGCTGTGGTTCCTGGGGGATATCTGTGCTGTGCCTATTGCTACCCTTTGACAAGGGGGGACCTCCTAAGGGAAGTTAGGGCACCCCTGAATTGCGACATAGTTCAGCACATTCATGCATCCTCTTTACGTGAGTCAGGGCTTTGCAGGCTCCCAGCTCCTGGAAGCGGGAGCAAAGTGGGGTGACAAGGCTATTTGCTCCAGCCACCCTTTCTTGCAGAGGTTGGGTCAGGGTTCTGGACTCTGTCCTTTGATCCATAGTTGCTCAGTGTCTGCTTGGAGTGGCTGGAATAGGGAAGATGGCTCCTAGGGGGCTCTAGACTCACTGTGGAAATTCCACTCTGCCACCTTCTGCCCTTCTCTCAGCGGGGCTTGTTGGTCTGTCCTGAGCATGCAGTTCATCAAAATCATGTCCTTTTTTCCACTGTGCCCCTCTGTGCCCAAGGGAGCCTGCTCTTCCATCCTGTTCCTGTGGCTCTATGCCCTGCCACCTGACCCCAGCCATTACTGACCTTTTCCTCTTTTGCTCCAGTGCCTCCAACCCAGGCTGGGTATCCGCCTGGCAAGCGGAACTCCCTGCTCTTCTGGCTCTCAGGTAACATGGCATGACTGGAGAAGTTTGCACTTCCATCTGCTGCCTGAGCCTGCACATCACAGCTATGCTAACCTTATCCTGCAGGCACTGCGGCTCCCTACACTCACCTGGGGCATCCCACCTGTTCACACTTGTGGACCAGTGTGATTTGTACTTCACCTAGGGCCCAGTTACTGAGTGGCTCTCCCTTCCGGGAAGGCTAGAAGGGACACACATGAGAAGACACAGGCTTACTCCTGGCCTAGTGAGCCCAGCTGTCAGTATCCTGGTCAAATTGACACTCAGACCTCAGTAGGATGACTTACCTATCAGCTTTCTCTAAAAAACTTTCTATCTTCCTTCAAAGACTTTGTTTTTCATTAAGTTACTGGTGTCTGTAACAGCCAGTGTTACAGAAGATAGGAACAGCCAGGCACTTAGAAGTGCAGCCCAATCACACTGCCCCATTGAATGCCTGCTCCACAGCTACTAGCTAATGATTCCAGGGAGTTGACTTGCCGTCTGTCTTGTTTTCCTCATGTAAAATGAGAGTAATACACATTAAGTGTTTATTAGAATTGTCAGGAGCAGTGAGAGAATTGATACGAAATGTTTAGTTAGAGCTCAGTTATTCTGGGTTTTTCTCATGGCTAGAATGCAACATTCTTGTTAGGAAGGAAGTGTTTGGGAAAAGGCAAAATGCCCCGGGCTATTTCTGGTCTTTGACACCTTGCACTAGACTCATTCAGTTCCTGGTTTACTGGCCTTGTCCCAGCTAAACCTCATGAAAGCCAAGGCAGCAGAGGGTGGCGGAAGATGCTGATCTCTTCAGAATTCTGGTCTGGGCTGGTCCCGAGGAGGTTAAGAGGATTGCAGGTGTCTTTGAGCTACATAATTCAGTGCATTACTTAAAAAAGCTCCCAAGGTTCCAACAGTCCTAAAAACCTATCACCTCAGTTAGTTATTTTCCATTTTGTATTTGTACAGGTGGGTTCATATCCTTAATAGTACCACTGTATCCTTTTAGAAGTTACTTGTCCCTTTCAAACACTGCCAACTTTGGCTGTGATAGGAGGTAGGAAGCTGTTAGTGGCCTTTGAGCAGGGGGACAAGTTTGCACTTGCTGAGAGCACAATGGACCATGTTGGCCCTAATTGGCCCATAGCTTAGCCTCTGTCTCTTCCTGTCTGCAATTTCTCTTGTTATATATGGCCAGGAGTTTATGTATACCTGGTTTGAGTCCTGATGCTTTTACCTAATAGGGGCACAGATATGCTTTTCATAAGCTTTCTAGTTAGAGCCACACAGCGTTTCACCAAGTACATGTGCTTTCATTTGTTATCTCTGGCCTGCTTAAGCACATTTGTATATGGGGATAGGGTTCTGTATCCTAATATATTCTATATTTTATTTATTTATTTTTTAAAGATTTATTTATTTATATTTTATTTATGCAAGCACTGGGTACAGTCAGAAGCGCGGGAGGGTGAGAGAATTCACCAGAGCCAGAGCAGGGAGCAGAGCAGGCAGAAGGACCGAAGTATACTGCTGAGGGGAGCAGCGGGCGGCAAGAGAGGTCTGCGCGCCATGTGGGGCCCTCCTCCAGTGGCCGGGGAGCAGCCGGGGATCGAACCAGCGCCGCAGAAGCTGCAGGCAGCCTTGCAACCCAGTGCTCAACCGCTGCGCCACCAGGGAGACCCTATATTCTATATTTTAAATAACACCAGCACATAGACCTCTTTCTACCAAAAACTATGTTTTTAGAGTATTTTTTCAGAAATGGAATTGAGTCCGAAACCCCTGTTTTTTGGGTTACATTTATTGTCTTGTTTTAATCACAGTGGGAACATAGTGTATTTAGAAAATTGGAAGAACCGGCTGAAAATATTTAACTTCATTACTTAATTTAATTCAGAAACATGCACTTCATATTTTGGGTTATTTCTTTCTAGGGCCTCTGTTTTTGATAGACCATATCTCTAATTTGTGTTGATTTTAAATTCAGTCCCTGTTAACAAGCATTTAATTAAAAGCATTCTATCATTCAAATAATTAATGTGAAATGTTAAGTAATATCCCTGGCATTTCTGTTTTTTTCTAAAACCTAATCAGAGGTGTTACTCAAGTTAGAGTAAGTGATTTTTTTGCTCTTATCCCTCAAAGTATTGCACACTACCCAATCAGAACATCTATACTGTATTTTCTTAGTTTTATGACTGAAGCCTGAAGATAGAGAATTACTCAGTTCATTCACAGTTAAGCCGCATTAGTCATTCAGTTGCTGGATAGCAAATGTTTGTTCACCTCACGGGACTATTTGTTAGACTAGCTAACTTTGTTGTTCGTAATTTATGAAGCAAATCTGTTCATTCCACTTCCCATTTGTTTAAAACAAGTATGTGTGCCTTCACAATTAACTTTATGCATTTCATTGATTTTTTTGAGTGTTCTTAAAAATGAGAGTTAATTATGTACAATAATGTGTGCAGTTATTTTTTCAAAATGAGGGGCTGATATCTTCCTGGTTTGGGTGGAGTCATTCCCTTTGCCTGGTCACCATCCACCGAATGGAGGGCTGTGCTGCCCCTAGTGGTGGGAAGAGGCACCTTCCCACTCCCCAGGCTGCCTCATGGGAGCTGGTCTGGGACCAGCCCTGGGAAATCACCCAGAGAGGGAAGCCTGGAGCTCTGGGGCCCCTACTTCCTGTGGGAGGAACCCACTGTTCCCCTGCCAGGCATGTTGGGGATTCAGCACACACAAGTGAGTAGGACTGTTCCATAAAGAGCAGGTCTTGTGCAGAGCATACTTTTAACCTAAGTGCATTTTAAGGTATGAACAGTGTCATGTTAAAGGGGGAGAGGGGCTGTGTATGTGTAGTGAGAATGCAAACTATACATTCTTCCTTCTAATGTAATTTGAAAGTGTGCAGTTTATGTTCCTTGACATAGGTTGGTATTGAGACAAGGATAGCAGCTTGTCTGCCATGGTAGGTACCCACTGTGTTGTCCTTGACCCATAGTTGCGGGGGGAGGGAGGAATTTTGTAGCCATAAACTTTCTATGTCTGGTTTCTGTTTGCTATTTTGCCTGTTTGTTTCTATAGACTTTTAAATACTTACTCCGCAGTATTTCTTCTAAATAGACTAACTCCTTTGCTTTGGTGAGATCAGACCTTCTGCATTTAGAGCTTCTGTTTATCCTTCAGAATTACTTCCTGTTCCAAGGTGGGGACACCACTCCCTGGGCATCTGTGGCACAGGGTTAAACAAGAGGCTGAGAAAGGGCACCAGGGTGGCTCTTGTTCTTACTGCCCCCCTCTCCCCACAGACCGCTCCCCGCCCCATGCCAGCACCCTCAGTCGCTCAGCTTCCCTCAGTTACCCAGATCGCACGGATATCTCGGGCATAGCTCCCTTGGCAGGCAGCAGCAACCAGTTTGGGAGCTCCATCCTGGGCCAGTACATCTCTGACTTCAGTGTCCGGGCACTCATGGACCTCCAGTATATTAAGGTGAGTGTGTCCCATGACCCTCTCTATGGGTAACACTGTCTTCCTTGTCTGAGGCATTTGGATCACTCTGACTCAGAATGAACCACCAGTCCAGCATGGAGTGCCCTCATGTCGTTATTCCTGGTCTTCACTCTGTATACGGGCTTCTCCAGATTCCACCTGGTCATGTCCTCTCTTCTGAGTTCACAGTTCTCAAATCTGGCCTGACCCTGTTTTTCCCATCTCTTGAGGTAGGGTTTACCTCCCAGGCCCTGCTCTCTGAACCTTACCCCTTTCTCCTGCAGGTCACCCGGCAGCAGTACCAGAATGGGCTGCTGGCCTCACGCATGGAGAATTGCCCACAGTTCCCCCTGGATGGGTGCACCATCTGCACGGAGAACTTAGCCGAGAAGCCCGAGCTGCCCGTGGTGGATGAGACCACAACTCTCCTCAACGAGCGCAACTCCTTGCTGCACAAAGCTTCCCACGAGAGTACCATCTGACAGGAGGGCCCGGGGTCCCCCGCCATTCCCGCGGGGGCCTCCCCAGTGGGCCCACATGAAGATAGGGAGCCTGTTAGGCCAGAAGGGGTACAGATAGATTGTCTAACTGAGCAGCCAGATGGCCCCCAGCCTGTGGGGGAGCTGGCCTCTGACAGGGACCTCTGAACAGCTCAGAGGTAGTGGCTGCCTAGCCCTGGACTGACTGGCAGGGCGGTGGACCAGCTACCATGAGTTAGTCTGTTTTTTACTGAAAGAATTTCTAAATTTAGGCGCATTGCTCCTCTTTTTAAATATCATTTGGGGAAGGGAATGGGGATGGGAAGACAGGGTTAAGGAATTTTATTTAAAAAAGAAAAATTTTTTTTTTCAAAACTTTAAGAGGGGTAGGCTTTCTCACCCCAGGAAGCAATAGCCATAATGTGCTCCTAGCCTTGACCTCTAGTTTATGTCCCTGACTCAGGGAGCCTGTTCTTCCTCTTCCTCCTCCAGAGGAGGAGGGTTTTCTCTTGGGAGGAAGACAGTTCTTCCCAGGAAGCAAAGAACCAAATAGCTCTCAGAATAACTGCCTGGACACCTGCACTGAAGCTGGTCTGATGTTGCTGAGGCCAAGGGATTCTGGGTGACTGATCAGGGATATGCTACAGAGAGGAGCACACCTACTTGTTGTCAATCGCTGGATCCAGGAATTTCTTAGAACTCTGCCGATGGGCTCTCCTGGTGAGTTGGGGCTAGGCTGAGGACTGTCACCCCTATACCCATTGTTTTGCCTCATACTGCTCCTTTGGACAACTCTGTCCTTATAATGGGGTTTAAAGTGTTAGGCAGGGTCTCAAACTTTTACAATTGGTTGCCCCTGCTCCCCCAGCTCTGCCCTCAACTTCACTAAAGGTTTTCCCCTCAGTGGGGAGAACATCTATGTTATAGGTGATTTGTCTGGGATGCTCCTTGTGGTTCCAGGAGGGAATCTGCTGTTAGCAATTACTACCACCCTCTTTGCACCCCACAATAGAAGTCATGTCACTGATCTATGAAGTGCTTCTTTCCAGACTCTCTGCTTCCAATTCCAAAACCCCAGTGACTCTTGGGGACTGAGAACAAGAGGACATGTTGGAAGCCAATCCAAGCAGGTTCTTCATGCCTTTTACTCAATGGCTGAGGCTTACCTGACTTTGTTCACACACTACAGAAGCCAGGAAAGGAGACTTCCCACCTAAAAGACACAACTGGTTGCCCCATTTTCCCCATGTCTGTGTAATCTAGTGTGAAGTGTCATCTTGGCTGTTGCTGAAGTGGTACTGGACCCAAGAGTCCACCCTTAGAGGGAATCCTGCCCTACCACCTTTTCCCTGAGGCTGAATCCAGCCCTGGTGCAGAGCTCCAGGATTCCTGCTATTGGGAAGGCTGTGGGACTAAGCAGTGTTGGCCCTTTCGTCGGGTGGAACAGGAACTGGAGCCCAAGATGCAGATGTGGGGGATTCTGCAGGTCTTCTGCCTGAATATTATTTATTCACTCCTTTCCTCAACCAGTGGAGTCCTGTCACCGCAAGTGTTCTGCTTTTCAGGTGCCTAGAGATTCCTAACTCTTGGGACCAGGAAATGTCTTGCATCAAGTATGCCTGCCCCTGACCAGTTGTAGTCTTCCCCAGTCACAGAATTTATTCCTAAACGTCTGGAGAGAAGGTGGTGACATCCATGGCTTCTTAGCCAAAAGGAAAAAAGACCAGCTCTTGCCCCCTGTTGGGGGAATCCCTTAGTTTTCTCCAGGAGCAGCCTGCTTTCTGAGTCCACACAGGAACTTGCAAAGCTGTATTCCTGAGGGAACCGGGGGCCAGGTGGAGCAAACCACATTGGCCTGAACCACGAGTGTGTGTGAAGTAAAGGGAGCAGGTGCGCACACTCCACAGCTACCTCTGCACACACGGTTACTACCAATAGATGGTCTCCCCCCACTTCTTTCCTCCCCTTCTCCATTTATAATCACTTCTTGCAGAGGGTCAGAATTATTTCCAAATATTACTGGTTCGATAACTTCCTCCTCCCAGTGCAATTTTTCACTTCCTATTCCAACCTCTGGTTTCTGGGCTGAGCCATATCTTGGAATTGGCCCATCCCTGCAAGTCTTCCCATGTAAGGGAGACCTTTGCAAATGGCCTCCAAATAGGTAGGCAAGCCACAGCCACCATAGTAAATAACTCATATTTATTTTGCGTAAGATTTTAATTTGTATATTTTTGTGATTTATTTTGGCATTGTTATATAAGTTTGACTCTCGGGGAGTTTTGTTGTTATGACTCTTGTGTCTTTTGTCACAAAAACAATGATAATATTTGCTAAACAATATATGGAATTTATTTTTGATTGGTAATAAAAATGAAATATGTATGAATCTTGGCGAGTCTACAATTTGAGTTTTGTGAATAATTGGTAATTGTCATAGAGATAGAAGTGGCTGTCACCTGTGACAGGGCAAAGGTCAAGTGTTCTGGGACTGTTTCGAAGCAGAAATATGTTTTCTCCAGAGCCCTTAATACCAGATATTAAAATAGGGACATGTGTTTTCTGTTGCCCCCACACTAGACTAGCACCTATTACACTGAAGGCACTTGATGTGGAAAATTCTCTTTGAATGAGTAAATGAATGAATGATCTTGTAGTAAGATCCATCTGGATTCTATACGGGGAGCATATAGTTTCTATAACCCTGAGCCCAAGCTAGGCAAGATGGTCAAGGAAGACTATCTGGAAGAACAGTTTGCAGACTTGAGAGATAGGCAGGAATTAGCTAATGGAGTCACACAATAGTTATAAGTTTAAACTCAAAAATATTTAAGTAAGTCATGAAAATGTCTTGAACCAAGTTGATCATGATCAGTAAGGAAAATGGCCCAGGGAGGATCAATGAGCGACCTGAAGGTCAAGTGACCAGTGCCTCCATTCAAGATAGGACTAACCAGGGGATGTGGGGAAGAACGGTACAAAGCAAAAAAAGCAAGCAGCCTCTTGAGGTCTCTATTGTTAACAGAAAATCACTCCTTGAACAGGTTTGTTTGCCCTGTACTGGATTCTTTATCTCTTTGGGTATTGACAGTTTAAATGACCATTTGTGTTTTTCAAGTGTGATCCAATTCTTCTGCCCAAAGTCTTCCCGAGAAAGCTATAGGTGGTTTGGTTTTTTTTTTTTTTTTTAAAGATTTATTTATACAAAGCAGAGTGACAAAGTACACTGCTGAGGGGAGCAGTGGGCGGCAGGAGAGATCTGCATGCCATGTGGGACCCTCACCTGGCAGCCGGGGATCGAACTGATGCTGCAGAGGCTGTGGGCAGCTTTGCAACCCAGTGCTCAACCGCTGCGCCACAGGGGAGGCCCCTATAGGTTGTTTTCCAAGAGCACCTGAGACCAAGGACAAAGTAATGTGAAAGGTTAAGTGCCCTGTAGAAATCCATATGGGGTGTAGAAATCCATATGGGGCTTTTCCTGTCTAACCTTTGCAACTGGTTTTTGCTGTTAATATTTTTTCAGATACAACTTTTTCAAGCATGTCTCAGTGTTATTATTTTATCTAATCTTGGAGACAGAAGTGTGCACTAAGGGGACTGAATTCTTTTTTTCTTCAAAGGAAGTATGCTGACCCAGTGGAAAGGCTCAGTAGTGTCATTGCTTTTGCTGGTGGCTAAATCTGCGAGTGGGGCAAACTACTCAAAGTGCATGGCATCATCTCCATAATAAAAAATGGAAACAAGGAGATGTTGGCCAGGTCATGCTGCTGAGTTTATAAAGTAGAACACCACTGCCATCCTTTTAAAGAGTTTTTCCTAACATTTCTTTAGGTCATTTCCAGAGGGATATTCTTTTTAAAGATTTATGCATACGAGAACTGGGGTGTAGGCCAGAGGTGGTGGGCAGTATGAGAGGATTCACCAGAGACAGTGGGGAGCAGAACAGGCAGCTCAACTGACATACACTGCTGAGGGGAGCAGCTGGTGAGACAGAAGAAGCCTATTGAGCCATGTAGGTCAGCTCCCTGGCCCAGGATTGAACCAGTGCTGCAGTGGCTGCCCATAGCCTGACAGCCTGAGACTCCAACCCCTGTGCCACCAGGGAGGCCCTTACTCATTTTTGTACATTACCTTCCACACAAACTTTTCACTTCATGGTGGCCACAGTGCCTATATTTCCTATTTCATGACATAGCAAATGTGTTTCCATAGCAGCCTTCTAAAGATCAGTTAAAATATGTATGTAAACAGTCGTACCAAATGGTCTACTCAGAAAATCTGAAAATACATAAAAAATGTAAAAACAAAAACCAATCTGGGTACTGTGAGAGAGGCCTTGTGAGCAGTTTGTCTATTTTGACATGTAATGCTCCTCATCTGTAATGGAAGAACATTCCATACAGTCAATGGGCCATATTGTCCTGTAAAGTAACTAACTCTCTAGTAAGGATCCTCTTGAGCAGTTGGTTTTGAGAAATTGTTTTCCCAAGGATTATCCAGACGTGGAGTCCGCTGGTCCAGTCATTCTGACAGCTGTCATCTCCTAATACGGTGACCAGGGTATTAGGCAGGTAGTGTTGGAACCCACTTCCCTGCCGAGTCACGCTTCACTTTTCTCCTGTAAAATACTAATAGCATGAAGCAGCTGTGAGGGCCCCACGAGGCAGCCCTCCCGCCCAGAAGGCAGCAAGTTCCTTGAAGGCAGGACAGTGTTTCACGTGCCCAGACGTAACGCAGAGTTCTTCCGCTTGATCAAAAACCACCCTCGACACGCCCTAGGTTTCCGACACCCAGCCACCCGTTTTTCCTTCAGTCCTCCCTGCCCTTTAAGTCAGGGGGCCAGACACCTCTCAGGGTTACGGCCCATTTCCCAGGAAAACGGCACCTCTCCCAGACCCAGACCTTCAGCAGCGCCCGGGCCGCTCCGCCCGCGCCCCGCCGCGACGCGGGGACTTCCCGGAGCGCAGCCCGGCCTCCCCGCGCCAGGGGCCCGCCCGCGGGAACGGGACGCGGCGGAGGCGCCTCAGCTTGCGGACCCGCGTCCTCGGGGTGCCGGCCGCCCCCGACCCCGGGCGCCCCGGGAGCCCGGCCGAGCCCGGCGGGGTGAAGCGCCCCACGCCCCCGGCCCGCCCCACGCCCCCGGCCCGCCCCGAGCTCGCGCGGCGCTTGTTTACTCCCCGGCGCAGCCTAGTACGACCCTGCGGCCCGCCCCCGCCCGCCGACTATTGGCGGAGGAGGCGCCCAGGCGGGCGGCGATTGGCCCGGGGGAGGCGGAGGGTAGGCTGCGCGGGAGGCCGAGCGGGGGCAGCCGGCGATGGCGGCGGCGGGTCGGCTGAGGTGGTTGTTCGCTGCGCTTTGCCTGGGCAACGCCGCTGGGGAGGGGGCGCAGGGGCCGCGGGTGCTGAGCGTCTGCCTGGAGGAGGACGGGGCTGCGGACTCCGGGTGGGCGCGCGGAGGGGAGGCGCGGGGCGCGCGGGCGGAGGCCACCTTCCGCCTGCGCCTCTTCGGCTCCGGCTTCACCAACAGCTCCTGGTCTTGGGTGGCCCCCGAGGGGGCGGGCTGCCCCGAGGGCGGGCCGGCCGCGGCGCCGGAGGAGGCGGCAGCACCCGCGGGCGAGTGGCGCGCGCTACTGCGCCTGCGCGCCGAGGCCGTGCGCCCGCACTCGGCGCTGCTGGCGGTGCGCGTGGAGCCCGGCGGCCCGGCGGCCGAGGAGGCGGTGCCGCCCTGGGCGCTCGGCCTGGGGGCCGCGGGGCTGCTGGCTTTGGCGGCGCTGGCGCGGGGCCTGCAGCTGAGCGCGCTGGCGCTGGCGCCCGCCGAGGTGCAGGTGCTGCGCGAGAACGGCTCGGAGGCGGAGCGTGCGACGGCGCGGCGGCTGGAGCCCGCGCGGCGCTGGGCCGGCTGCGCCCTGGGCGCGCTGCTGCTCCTGGCCAGCCTGGCGCAGGCGGCGCTGGTGGTGCTGCTGTACCGCGCCGCGGGGCAGCGCACGGTGCCCGCCGTGCTGGGCGGCGCGGGGCTCGTGTTCCTGGTGGGCGAGGTGGTGCCTGCCGCCGTGAGCGGGCGCTGGGCGCTGGCCCTGGCGCCGCGCGCGCTAGTCCTGAGCCGCCTGGCGGTGCTGCTCACCCTGCCCGTGGCGCTGCCGGTGGGGCAGCTGCTGGAGCTGGCGGCGCGGCCCGGTCGGCTGCGCGAGCGCGTGCTGGAGCTGGCGCGCGGCGGCGCCGACCCCTACAGCGATCTGAGCAAGGGCGTGCTGCGCTGCCGCACCGTGGAGGACGTGCTCACGCCGCTCGAGGACTGCTTCATGCTGGACGCCGGCGCCGTGCTGGATTTCGGCGTCCTGGCCAGCATCATGCAGAGCGGCCACACTCGCATCCCCGTGTATGAGGAGGAGCGCTCCAACATCGTGGACATGCTCTATCTCAAGGACTTGGCCTTCGTTGACCCTGAAGACTGCACGCCGCTCAGCACCATCACCCGCTTCTACAACCACCCACTCCACTTCGTGTTCAACGACACCAAGCTGGACGCGGTCCTGGAGGAGTTCAAGCGAGGTAACGGCTGGGAGTTGGGGAGGGAGGGGACTCGAATGCCGGCGGGTCCCCATCTCCTCCGGGGAGGAGAGGGTCCCACAAGGCCAGTGAAACCTCAAGGTGTCTGTTAAAGACAGTGGCTTTGAAGCTCTGAAGGTGACGGTGCTGTAAACAGCAACACCACGTTTCCTGGTAGCCCCCAATTAGAGCCGCTGGGCTGTAACCCCTAATCCCTGGTCATGTTTGGTAGTCCTGGCTTTGTAGCAGGCCCAAACTATTGGATGGAAACTAAAAGAACGTAAAATCTCCAGACACCTGGATGCCGTTAGTCTATACTTTCACTATCAGATTAGCTGGGCCTGTGATGTTTGCAGGGCATCGTTTTTAAGATCACTGAGGACAGCTACTGCCCTCCTTAAAACCGAAAGGGGTATGATTTGTAACTAACTTTTCTGCAGGTGTGCAAGAAACTTCCACTTTGATTTCACCAATGGTAACTTCTTGGATGCTGATTTGGTCTCCCTTTGTTGTCTTTTTAATTTTCCCTTTTCTAGCTATGAGTAGGGTCTCTCAAGGACTCCCTTAACTGCACATTTTCACCCTCTCCTTTCACCTTGGTGTCGGTAAAAACTGAGATCCTCCCAATGTGAAGGTGTGGGTTCCTCTGCCTTCCTCTCCATTGTCAGGTATGGGTGTGCTCCCCAGAGTTGGACTACTTCTTGGCTATTAGCCATGTGTCTCACCCCCGAATTCCTGCAGGATGGGCTGAGGGACCCCCAGGACTCTGGGTGGACTTTCCCCTAAAGGCTCATAATGTGATACTGAGAAATAAGCAATACCCCCTGAACTTTGTTGTTGTGGTGAAGTCTCCTGGTCCCAGACCCTCGTGGATGGTGCTTTGTGAGCCTCGGTACTGTCAGGGCTGGAAGGCAAGTTTTCACTAACGACCCTGTTGCTACTGTCTTAGCACTGCTGTGTGCTAGCCACTAGTCGGCGCTCTCCTCCTACATCTTTAATCCTTGCAAGAGAGAGGTGTTCAACAATTGGGCCGTAACTGTATTTGCTTATCTGGACACTAAGTGGGAGTTTTGGTTTTTTTAAAGTAAATTTTCTTTTTTTAAATATTTTATTTATGTTTTTTGTAGAACTGGGGTGCAGACCACAGGTGAGGGTGTGTGTGTGAGAGAGAGAGAATTCACCAGAGACAGAGTGGGGAACAGAACAGGCAGACTGACTGAAATACACTGCTGAGGGCAGATGAGGGCAGCAGCGGGAGCGACAGGAGAAGTCTGTTGCGCCTTGTGGGTCAGCTCCAGGCCATCTCGGTGATAGCAATAGCGCTGAGACTTAACCCCTAGGCTACCAGGCAGGCCCTAAATGGGAGATTTTCAGGGTGGCTCTGACAGCAGTGTTAGACTTTCTTGGGTGCTCCTGGCTGTTTGCTCAGAAAGTGATCTTGCAGGGCCTCCCCGGTGGCGCAGCGGTTGAGCGCTGGGTTGCGAGGCTGCCTGCGTCCTCTGCGGCGCCGGTTCGGTCCCCGGCTGCTCCCCGGCCACCGGAGGAGGATCCCACATGGCTCACAGACCTCTCCTGCCGCCCGCTGCTCCCCTCAGCAGTGTACTTCGGTCCTTCTGCCTGGTCTGCTCCCCGCTCTGGTTCTGGTGAATTCTCTCGCCCTCCCGCACTTCTGACTGTACCCAGTGCATGTATAAATAAATAAATAAATCTTTAAAAAAAAAAAAAAAAGAAAGTGATCTTGCAGCCCTTCACTGTGAAGAGGAGTCCAGATAGAGCCCCCTGGTGGTACATACTCCATCTGTACCACTGTCATCTCTGATACAGTGGTGATTCTGGTGGCCAGCAATGCTGGGGAAGGTTCCATCCTGCCCCTACTACCTCCTAGCTAGTGACCCTGGGAAGGCTGAACGTGGTTACCAGTGATTGTGAGCAGAACATGACAGCATCTTAGTGGTTTTCACAGGTCATTGATCAGTGTGGAGACCAATGGTTAGGGGAGTCAAGGTGAGAGATGATGGCAGCCTGAACAAGGGTACGCAGGGACCTGGAGAGGATATCCTAGGGGGCATTTGGAAGTGGAATGGGGGAAATTTGTGGTCAGTTGGGTGGGGGCTGAGGGACCCCCAGGGACCCCCTTCCACCCCAAGAGGGAGGAGTGAGGAAAAGGTCTGCATTTCTCATTTGGTGATGGTGTTGCTCTTTCCTGAGGCAGAGTAAAAGTAGGGAACAGAGGGTCTGGGGTAGGAGGCGGAGGCTGACCCCTAAGAGGCAGTTGATGTGAAATGCAAGTGAAATACCTGAGCAGGAGGTAAAGACCTGGATGTCAGTAAGCCACTTCTGTGGGCTGGAGCAGAAAGCTTAAACCTCAGGGGCCCAAGCATGTAAGGGGCAGAGGCAGCAGAGGAGAGCCAGAGGTGCAGCATGCCAAGGAAAGAGATTGCAAGGGAAGGAGAGTGATTGGCAGAGGAGGCCAACATTGCTTCCTTTGGCTCTGGCAACCAGACTGCCCTGGACTTTTGCAAGAGCAGATTTGATGCCATGGTGTGGGGTGATCAGGGAGTGAATGGGGCTTGAAGAATAATTGGCCTTCTGTGAACTGGAGCTGCGAAGCCAAAGCCAGAGGGCAGTGGCTAGGAGAGGATGGGCGGGGGAGGCAGTCCTCTGCTCTTTGGTTTTAAGATGGGTGAGTGGGGTGGGTTTAGGTTTAAATGCTCACAGGAAGGCCACAGTACAGGTTGCTCCTGTTTTGGGGTGGTAGCCTTGGAGCCGCCCTGGCGAATCAAGCAGGTTTCCTGCAGCCTGATGCTGGCCTGGAAGCTGCCTACGACAGTGTGCTGAAAAGTCTCTGGACTATTGTGTGGGGTGGGGGGATATGCAGTCTGGAGGGTGAATGGGGACCTCTTCAGTTTTTCTTGACTTCCTCACTCTTGTGGTGAGTGAGGATCATTCTCGGGGCAAAATGGCCACATCTTTCCTGTGATACCCTGAGCGTTCTCTGCTTTTCTTGGCAGACACCATTATTTATCCTCGTTAAAGTCCTCTTGGGCCTCACCCCCTTTTTCACCCTGTGCTCGTGAACATAGGGCGATTGCTGCATTGGGCAGGTGGGGTTTTAGACACCAGTTGCCTTCTCTCCACTTGGCTTGTGTGCATGAGATGGTGGTGCCCTTGGATTTGCCTTCAGCTAGAATCTCTGACATCTTGGCAGCCAGCATTCTGGGCCCTATTCTTGTTGCTCCTTCAGCATTCTGGAACTTTATAGTCTGGTGAGGCTCTCTCCATTTAGTGTGTGAACTTGAGAAGACATACCGATTTTGTGCTGGCATGCCAGAAAGACACACTGTTCAAGGACATTCAACCAGGGGAAGAATTAGGATGGAAGAGCAATGCAGTCGCTGCTTGTTTGACTGTCAGTAACCAAAGGATTGCCACAGCTCTGAGAGGTGTTAACATGGTACTTTCCTTTTAGGACATACTTCACAAGCAAGGCAGGGGAACTTAAACTCCGGCTGTATTATTAGGATCACTCTAGAAACTAGGCATCATGGAAGAGTCATTTATTATCCATATAATATGCGTATTCTTGAGCCTGGTCCCTGGAATTTAAACTATAGAGTGTTTTCAGGGCTTCCTGTTTGATATTGGCAGATGTGTCATCTGCACTCTCCCTTGTGGCTCTTTAGAACCTGCTCCGGGCCTATCTTGGGGGGCTGTGTAGGGCCTCCAGTCAGCCTCCATATTTTGAGACTGTTCTAATCTATCAGGTGAGAATAGACTTGAATCCCTCCAGCCACCCTTTCTCTCTATACCCCTACTATTTTATTATGTTGCTTTCTGGACCCCTCAAACCATTGTCTCGACATGAAATCACATGACCATTGCTTTAGTGGATCTCCCAAGGACCCTGTTTTCTTGTATTCACTATTGATCCACCCCAGAGCGGCAGGTCACTGAGAAACTTGTGCTTATTTTGAGAGCACGTGAAACATTAATCCATTCTGATAGGTAACCTGTCATAGACTGACTTCCTAGAAGAAGTGAGCTGAAATGGGTCCTCTTTGCTCTCAGATAGCCATCCAGAACCTGGGCTTTGATTCCTGGAATACCAAAAGACTGCTGACCTAAATAAACTGTATGGTGAGCCCTTGGCCTTCCTACTGTGACCTGACAGCTACGGATTGTGTGACAGGCCTGCATGACCCTGTACAAATGACACCTGCCTGCAGGGTGCCAGGCGAGCTATTCCCTCTGCAAACACCGAGGAGTAGAAGGCATCTAGAAATGCTGCCTTCCTCATTTAGTGCCTCTGTCTCAGCAGGATGAACAGTTCTCCAGGGGCCCCTGACTTTTTCCTTCTGGAAACCAGGACACAGTGTGGTCATTTCCACTTTTAATTTTTGTCCAAGGATATGAGAACTTCTTGAGGCACGATGCTTTCTGTTCTGTAGACGGGCCCTGTGCTGAAGAGAGGAAGCTCCTGGGCCCTTGGGAAGTCACCCAGAGGGCAAGGGTCTCGTCAGTTTCCACCTGCTGTTCTTCTCAGTGGCAGACACTTAAGCGTGGTGGCTTAAGAGGTGCACTCTGGCATCAGCTGCTCCGATTTGAAATCTGGTTTTGCACTTGGGCAGGTTGTTGAACCTCTTGTGGTCTCAGTTTCTGTGAACTGTAACCTTGGAATAACATATGCCTCAGAGTGGTTGGAGGATACAGTGTGTTAATGAATCAAGTGCTTGGATGCACAAGTTTTTTGCATTTTAACATGTCTGCAGTCAGGACGCGTTTGATAGTTGATGTCATCTTAGATTGGCTAAAATACAGTAAACCTCATATTACTCTTTTTCAGCCTCATTCCTTTTTCGTCTGGTTAGTAGTCTAGTAATAACAATGATAGTAAATAGTTTTAGCTTGATTCTTGACAGTTTCATTTTATCCAACTTTGGAGCTGAGATCTTCTTGCACCTGACTTAGACACTGACAGCGAGGCAGGACATGCTGAGTAGTACAGTGTATTTCTAGACCCAGGGTATGATTTAGACAAAGAAGTTAATTTTTGCTCTATCAAAAGATTTGTGATACAAGTGTCCCCTGTATGTGCAGGTCCAGGCCAGCTTTTACCCTGTGCTTTTCTCACTAGGAGCAAAGAGGGCATGGCTGGGATGAGCTCGCTCTCAACCTGTGTCCTAGACCTGCCCAGCCCAGCCTAGCAGCCACCACCCGCATGTGTCTGTTGAGCTCTTGAAAGGTAGCTAATGTGAATTGAGATGTGCTGTGAGTGCCAGACACACAGATTTCAAAGACTTAGTACCCAAAAAGTAAGTTATCTATTGACATTTTTGTATTGACTGCATGTTGAAGTGATATTTTGGTTATGCTGTGTTGATTATATTGTTAATTAATTTTGCCTGTGTCTGTGTTTCAGTGTAGCTAAAAACATTGTAAACTACATGGGTGGTCATGGCTGGCATTCTGTTTCTTTTAGACTGGCTAGAAAGGTTTAGAGATGAAAAGCACTTACTGAAGTTTCCCCAGCTCTCTGAGCTGGGCTTTTTACAGATGTATTTTTCCTCGTTAAGCAAACAAGCAAAACAAATAGGAAGCTAACATGAGAGAGACAGAGAGGAGGAAAATGAAGAGTTCTAGCCTGCTGCTCTCCCACACAGTTCAGGTTCTGACTGGCCAGTTGCCATTGACCTTCAGGCTCTTGGATGACTTTCATGGACTGTGGCTTCTGGAAAATAAAGGGTAGCTTTCAGAACTGGGAAAATCCACCTGAGAGTCAGGTCAGGTTTAGACTGTCCAGGGGGGCCTGTGTTCTGGAGTTGGTGTCCTTGTGTCTGGAGTCAGCTGCTTTGTAAGCACGTGTTCTAGTCTGTGGACTGGATACGTCATTGTCTGGGCCTTGCTTGCAGCGTGGAGTTGCACAGACTCCAGCTCACTGCCGGGTGGCCTTGTGAAGGTGAAACGGGCTCCGAGATGTGGGCACCGCATATGTTCCAGTGAGGCTGGTCCTCAGAAGCATGTTGAGAGTCTTAAGCAGAAACCTTAGGAAGCGTCTTACCTAGTGCCTGGCACCTTGTGGGAATGTGGACATCACCTTCTGTCTTATCGGTGGGCTGGTACGAGACGGGACAGAAAGGATGGGAGACCCCTGCAAGCTGTGACATGAGCACCTCCTCCCCTCAGGGAAGTCGCACCTGGCCATCGTGCAGAAGGTGAACAATGAGGGTGAAGGTGACCCCTTCTACGAGGTGCTGGGCCTGGTCACCCTGGAGGACGTCATTGAGGAGATCATCAAGTCCGAGATCCTGGACGAGTCTGAAGACTACCGTGAGTTTTCGCCACTGGCAATTCTCCTTGGCTGGTCTTTCATGCTTGCTGGATATGTCTGTATCAGAGGGTGGCGGCTCTCCGGTCGGCACCGGTCCCTAGAAGACCCTGTCTTCCTTGCCCAGTACTGTCCCCTGGCCAGAGAGCTCATACCTCTGCCTGGATGCAGAGCCAGCCTGACTTTTGGGTCTCTCTCAACAGCTGTGCTACCTGTTTTCTCACTCAGTAAGGGAGGTCTCTGCTCTTCAAGGGTCTTCCCCAGTCTCTCTTCCTTGGTCCTTCTGCTTTCTCATCTTCTTTTGTAAATTACAGAAGTGTCTTTGCAAAGTACCCTGTTCTTTACTACGGGAAGGGTCTTTCTAAAACATGATCCTGGACTTATATTACTCCTGGACTTATATTATATTACTTATAATTATTATTATATTACTTATATTACTTGTGATTGTGTCTTAGGGTGATGACTGAGGTCTGCAGGGCAGACGCAAGAACTGTCTTATGGCTGGGACCTCATACCCCTGTGTGCTATTAAGTGAATTGTTTGCTTACAAGTCTATCCCCCAAAATGCAGCTTCTTTACATTGGTTCCTTAGACTGCCATAGGCCCAGGTTAGCTGCTGCTGTTTCACACCAGTAATCCTCAGACACGTGCTTCCCAGTGAGGTATCTCTTAGCACATGTCTTTGCTGTCACGTGAGCACTATCTTCCTCCCAACTCAGGGCAGGGCACAGGCGCTTCCAGTACTCCCTCACGTCATAGCTGGAATGTGGGCCACTGTCCACTCTGTCCGGGGTCCCAGGATCACTGTGTGGTGGGAATGGCAGGTGCCATCAAGGGAGCAGAGCCCAGGAGGTCTCCCCAGAGCTCTGGTGCTGTCTCTCTGCCCTTGGGAGCCTGGAGCAGGCTGCATGCCCCTTTGTTGTGTTGAATGGAGGGTTGCTGGTGCCTGAGCTGGCCCTCTTACTGTCCTAGGAGACACCGTGGTGAGGAAGAAGCCTGCTTCTCTGAGCGCCCCTGTCAGGCAGAAAGAGGAATTCTCCTTGTTCAAGGTGTCTGATGATGAATATAAAGTGAAAATCTCACCTCAGCTGCTCTTGGCCACCCAGCGCTTCCTTTCCCGAGGTGAGGGTGGACCTTGTCCCTGCTCTCTTGCTCACCTCCCGTGGGTCAGGAGACCCCCAGGACAGATGCCAGCTGTTCCGTGCTTCTCTCTGCAGCCCTGTCAGCATCTCGGGTCACCTGAGAGGCGACTCTCCACCAGGTGACCGAGGGCCAGGGCACCTCAGCTGGGCGGGTGTTCGTGCCGGCGCAGCCTCTTGCGTTGGGGCGGTGACTTGGCTCACCGCTGGCCACAAAAACCTGGGCAGCAGCAGGAGTCGGGTGTGGTTATGCAGGCCTCTCTCGGCCCAGTGGACACCGTCCCTTTTTTCCACCACGGGACAGAGGTGGATGTATTCAGCCCACTGCGAATCTCTGAGAAGGTCCTGCTGCACCTGCTGAAGCACCCCAGCGTCAACCAGGAAGTGAGGTTTGACGAGAGCAACCGCCTGGCTGCCCACCATTACCTGTACCAGCGCAGCCAGCCGGTGGACTATTTCATTCTCATCCTGCAGGTAACTGGGAGCCCAAACTGGAGTCTCCCACTTGCTCAGAAAAAGTAGGGAAGGGTCTGAGAAGAGGGGAGGAACACCTGGAGCATCGTTTGGATACATGCTCTCTTAGTAATTGGGGTTGGTGCTTTCTCCTTGTGCTCTCTTCTGGCAGGAAAGATAATCTGTCCACATCTGTGTCTCTCCTGCCCCTCCTCCCTCCCCCTTTCCCTACACCTCCCAGGGCAGGGTTGAGGTGGAGATCGGGAAAGAGGGCCTGAAGTTCGAGAACGGGGCCTTCACCTACTATGGAGTGTCTGCCCTGACGGCACCATCCTCGGGTAAGCTGCAGCCCCTCCTGGAGCAGAAGGCGAGGTCCGCTGCTGGGCTGGCAGAGCCTGACCCGCTTCTGGTTGTGGCTGAGACTCCCCAGTGCCTGGGATTCTAGCCTTCCCTTCCGCAGAGCCTGCATCTCCTACAGGGTGGTGTGCTCTGGGCCTTGCTGCCTCTCAGGGGCAGCATTCCTTCAGGGCTTATCTCTGCTGCCCTTCCCCTCCCTGTGGTACCTTTCCCAGAGGAAGTGTGTATGGTCTTTTCAAAGTCATGGCCATATTCCTTTTCCAGGGTGATTTGTGGGGTGGATCTTGGAGGCTATGTGGATGTTTCCATGGTGGCAGCGGGCAAGGGCTGCCCAGCTGCCAATGTGGCTTCCCTGTCACTGATTGTTCGTTTCCATAGTTCACCAGTCTCCAGTGTCCTCGCTCCAGTCTCTCCGCCAGGACTTGCAGTCTGAGCCTGTCGATGGCACCCACGTGTCCTCATACTGTCCTGACTACACTGTGAGAGCCCTCTCGGACCTGCAGTTCATTAAGGTGACCACGCCACTTATTGGTCCTGGCTTTTTTCTTTCTTTTTTTTTTTTTTAAAGATTTATTTATTTATGCATACAAAAGCTGGGGTGCAGGCCAGAGATGTGGTGGGTGAGAGGATTCACCAGAGACAGAATGGGGAACAGAACAGGCCGATCAGCTGAAATACACTGCTGAGGGGAACAGTGGGTGAGACAGGAGAGGTCTGCTGCGCCATGTGGGTATCTCCCTGGCTGGGGATCGAACTTGTGCTGCAGTGACTGCAGATAGCTTCATTGTGCTGGGTCTTAACCCCTTGCACCACCAGGGAGGTCCAGTCCGGGCTTTTTTTTTTTTTTTTTTTTTTTTAATAACAAGTATTTCATTTTTTTTTAAATGATTTTTTTTTTTTTTTTTTGAGATTTACTTATTTATACAAGCACTGGGTACAGTCAGAAGCGCGGGAGGGCGAGAGAATTCACCAGAGCCAGAGTCAGGAGCAGAGCAGGCAGACTGACGAAATACACTGCTGAGGGGAGCAGCGGGCGGCTGGAGAGGTCTGCGCGCCATGTGGGACCCTCCTCCGGTGGCCGGGGAGCAGCCGGAGATCTAACCAGTGCTGCAGAGGCTGTGGGAAGCTCCGCAACCCAGCGCTCAACCGCTGCACCACCGGGGAGGCCCCCAGTCCTGGCTTTTAATCAGCTTTGTGTCTCCAAGGACTGGACTAGCTGGTCACAAATTTGTGTGGATTGAGAGTAAATTTTCACTGGTTCCCAGAGCAAATCCTTGTACTTGCCCTGAATGATGGGTGGTCTTGGTTCCCTGGAGGCCTCTTTGGTCACTGTTGGTCTGGTCCCACCTCCGGGCCTGTGGACTCAGTTTCCTCTTGAGATCTGGAGCACGCACTCCTTGACTATTCTTCTCTGTCCTTAACTAGTGTAAAGTCCTTCCTTTCTTTCTTCCTGCCATGTGTGACTCTCCCAGTTGGTCCAGGTACTTGTGGGCAGGAGGGGGCAGTGTGACCTCACCTCCTTCACTTAGCTTCCCAAGTTGTACCTGCCTCCTAATGCTCTCTGTCCTGCAGGTCTCGCGGCTGCAGTACCTCAATGCACTCCTGGCTACCCGGGCCCAGAATCTGCCGCAGTCCCCTGAGAGCTTGGACCTCCAGGTCATCCCAGGCAGCCAGATCAGGCTACTTAGTGACAAGACGGCTGACACAGCGGGTGAGCACCGAGTGATGACATCCACGCATGTGTCCACCCACAGTGTGTGTGTGCCCTCGGTCAGTCCATGCTGCCCACACATGCGGGCTTACTCTGCCCTATGTTCTTTTCTCCCATCGTTCTGTTTCTCCCCTCTTGTTGATTTTCAGTAGGCCAGCTGATCCTGAGTTACAGAGCTCTTAGCATTTAAAGTAGGGTAATTAAGTCAACATTTTCTCTCCATGGCCTGCTAGGATGGGTTGATTTAATCAGAGAATAATTGTTATGTGGGAATGTGATCAAGTTCAAACATTCTTTTAGCCATTTAGGATTGGGTCTCACCTGGGAAGTGAAACTTTGGGTCACCAGTGGGCCCCACAAAGAAGGCAGATAGCTGGTGATACCATCCCAGAAACAGAAAGGCATTTGGGCAGGTCAGGCTGATATTTGGGCATGCCCTTTCCCTCCGGCACTCCATGTGAGCAGGATGATAACATTGGTAGAAACAGACTTTGCAATGTATGGTAGCAAACCCCACTCTCTGTGTCAGGCATCTGTGAAGGAGTGGGCTTGGGGTGGGAGCGGTAAAAAGGGAATTCAAGGAATTCTCTTGTCTTACTTATGAAGGAACTTTTGTTCTGATTTAAGCTCCCAAGATGGGGTCAGAGATACTTCAGGGCTTGTGCTCCTGGTGGAGCTGGCGGGGCCTGTGGAGAGACTAGGGAGGAACTGCACATCCTCTCCACACTCCCTCCCCTCACAGCGTGAACGTGGGCTCTCCGTGAACTGTACTAAGCACTTTCCTCGACTTAGCTCATCTAAGAAAACTTGTGCAGTTGAGAGTAGATAGTTTTTGTGTCCGTTTTACAGACGAGTAATTGGAGGCAGAGAGAAATGTTTTTTGAGGCCTTGTGAGTGCCCTTGACCTCTGGGCTCTGGTGGTGGTACTGAGACCCACACTTGAGAATACAAACATGTATTTATAATAGAAATGTACTTTCTGAGAGGTGATGTGCGGGTGCAAGGGACAGAGACCCTCTCGCCCTGGGTTCCCTGGTGGCTCAGCCTCTGTGCACTCCATCCAGGGTGGGAGGGAGCCACCATGGTGCTGGGCTGGGCCTGGGTCACAGCCCTGTCTAGGGGTTGTGCACTTCCCAGGTGCTGCTCTGCCTTGAGGGCCGATGATGTTTCCCACTGTGATATTACTTTATTTTGTGAGGCACCCCTTGTACAGAGGGTCACACCATCCCATTTATATTTGGGTCTCAAAAGCCCAGCTATTTTGATTTTTTCAAAACCTGCCCCTTTTAGTTTTGGTTTTCTCACACATGAGCCTCTTCTGGCTTCCTCTGCTACACAGATGGCACGTCTTCTATCAAAGGACACTTAAATCTATTGATAAGAATGATGGCTTCCCCTCGTGTCATCCCTGGCTTCAGCCACTCACGGGACGGGCCTGTAGGGACTACTCTGAGGGGCGCTGTGGCCATCTGCTTCTCCACAGTGCATCACCAGCCCTGGGGGACATCCAGGCACAGGGCATCTATGGCCAGAATGATGGTTATTTTTTTCTCAATGCAGCGTGGCACTTGTCTCCAGTAGGCTCGTCTGCTGTCTTTGCCTCTGCTCCTTGGGTCTTGCCGTAGTGTGTCTCTGTAGCCTGACACTTCCCTGCCCAAGAGAACATAGTGCTGCTGAACGCACGGAGATGTGTGCCCTGGGTCACTGCTTAAGTGTTGCAGGTCAGAGCTGTGCCCTGGGTCACTTTGGTCCTAGGTTCCCTGGCAGGAAAAGTATCTTTCTTGAAGTGCCGGGAAGGCACAGTAATTTTGAACTTCCTACAGCAGAGCTTGACAAACTGATACAAGAGCAAATCGGGCCAGCTGCCCTGTCCTTCTAAATAAAATTTTATTGGAACCTGACATTTGTTGGCAGGTTGTTATGACTGCCTTTGAGCTACAATAGTGGAGTGGAGTAGCTGTCACAGGGACCTATGACCTGCAGAATCTAAAATATTGGCCCTTTACAGAAACAAGTTTTCTGACCCCTGGCCTGCCGTTTCAAATTTAGAACCACTCCTCAACGTTGCTCATTTGCAGAACTGGCTTCCGGAGGGAAGCCAGTCGGAAAACTGGGCGCCTGAGGGATGTCACTCTGATTGCTGGGCGCCTGGTCCCCATCTTGTACTGAGTGGTAGGGAATGGAGTATGTACCACACGCCTTGACCCTCCTTGCCCTGCGAGTGCCCATCCCCGTGACGCTGCCCAAGCAGAGCAGCCTGGCCGTTCCGGCTCAATAGCTTGTCTCCTCTGTCTCTCTCTCTCTGCTGTCTAGCCTTCCCCGTAGACCTTTCCCTCTTTGGCACATTTGGAAACTGCAGTTGATAAATGACTGTGGACTAGTGAGCATTTTTTGTTTTCTCAAAACACCTAAGGTAAATATCTTCCCTTTCCCTTTCTCTTTGCTTTCCTTCCCCAGAGGGTTAGTTGCTGGGAGGAGCACTGCACACTGCTCCCCCAGACTGGGAGGCATTTTTCCACAGGGGTGAGTGGGTGCTTCCTATCCTTTATTGCCACTTTTCATTCTGGAAGACAGGAGGAATCTGCAATACCTGCTCGAAAAGCTACGAAAGCTAAAGGCCTTGAAAGCTAAAGCCTCCTTGTGCACAGGTGCTTTGCTGTCTAGTGTAGGATCCCTTCGCCCACCTTTATGACCTGGGTCTCCTGTGGGCAGAACGCAGACCCCTGCTCCCCAGCCTCAGTGGTGAGGCCTGCCCTCACAGGGCTAGTCTCTTGAGGGGCAGAGGCCAGGTGACCATGTTCCCAGCTGCTCACTCCTAGTTTTGCCTGGATACTGCTCCACGTGTCCTGAGGCTCCTCTGCCCTCCCTGCCCCTTTCTGTCCTGTGGGAGGATCTTAGCTCTAGGTGTTGACAGGACCTGCTCCCTTCACTGGCTGATGTTAATTCTTCTTCCCCTCTCTCCTCTAGGGCCCAACCACAGCAGACCCGGTCTCCCAACAGAGGAGAGCCCAGGGCGGAACCCAGGAGTTTAACTGCTTTCCAGGCAGCCCCAGGTCTGGGGAATGGACAAGCACCTGGGGAACTGGAGAAAGCCGAGGAGTAACTTCCTAGCAGCCCGTCCCCATCCCTTCCGGGCCACGTTTTAGATGGCCCTTAGAGATGTAGTTCCTGGGCGGTCCTCAGAACCAGGTGTCAGCGCCAGGAACCTCCAGCAGGCTCTGTCCTCCTTTAGGATGGGGCTCAGCCAAGGCATAGCTCTCCAGACCTGCTTCTGGAAGGAGTGAACGGAGCCCCATCCACTCCAGCCCCCAGGGCACAGCCTTCTCCCTGTGACAGTGCAGAGTATTTATACCTCTTGTGGCCAAGCCATGAGGTGGGTGCACAATGACGGCCTTCACGAGGTTGTGTCCTGTCCTCGCTTTGCTTTAATTTGCCAACCTTCTGCTGCTGGCAGCACTTTTTGAACAACCGAGAGCACTCGTTTGGGCTGGGATTCAGATCCGTTGCCTTGACCATGGTGAACTTCTCGGGGTCCCTTATGATACTGTGCTTCAAAGCATATGCCCCAGCCGACTTCATGTGCCAAACCTGGAAACATAAGTACCCACAAGGTGCTCCACTAGCCCCTCCTGTGGAGGTTGCTTTCCAGACCCCTTCTGGAGCCCTGAGCGAGCAAGCTAGCCCCTGGGGACTGAGGAGGCCTGCTCTTTCTGCTTCTCCTCTGCCTGTCTTGCTTAGTTGCCACTAACAGTATTGTCATTTTTTGTGTTCTAAGAGGAGTCACCCATGGGAGGAAGGGATCTTTCTGCTGCTCCTTTTCTCCCTTGTCAAACCTAGGGAGAGTGACCAGCTGTCAGCTGTATTCTGTTCCTTCTTCCCGGGCCTCATTGGAGTGCTACATGGCTGCAATGTGCGTGGAGAGCAGGGAGAGGGAGAGACTGGTAGATCCCCATCACCTTTCTAAAGGAAGACCCATCCTATTTTTGAAATATTTCAAGCTTTTTGCTTTGTTCATGTTCCTAGCTGTGGGATTTTAGAGAACTGTGAACCCGAAGGCACTTGCCTTTTTCTTCTGGCTTACCTGTATATTCACCTTCCACACTTCAGCTGTGTGGAAACCTAGACATCGCAGGGACCTAGGAGCATAGCTTGGATGGGGAAGGAGGAAGATTTCTGGACCTTTCTCCAAGGAATTTGGGTTCTTCAAAGGTCCAAGAACAATGATGTGTTCTTTAGGAGTTGCTCTCAAGGAATTCACTCCAATAGTAAGCCCAGGTGGGAAATGTACTTTGAAAATCATCTCTTTCCAGACAGTGGTTCTTAACTTTGGCTGCACGTTGGAATCACCTGGCAGATTAAAATATTGATACCTCCGGCCTTCTATTCTGATTCAGTCAGTCTGAATGTCAGCATTTTATGTTTTGGATTTTAGATTCTCAGGGGGGTTTCACATTCCCTTCACTCAGCTTCTGTTAATGTTAACATCTTAGAACCTTGGCAATCTGTCAAAACTAAAAAATTAACCAAACTATTAACTAAATTACAGACTTTATTTGGGTTTTACCAGTTTTTCAATGTGTTTTTCTGTTGCAGGATCCAAACCAGGATACCAAGTTCCGTTTAGAGTTACTACTGCTCTTTTCCTTAGTAGTTATTTTTAAATAATTAGATTCATAGGAAGTTGCAAAGATAGAGCTCCCATATCTGCTTCGCCTAGTTTTCTCATCGATGACATCTTACTTAGTGGTAATACAGTATCAAGACCAGGAATCTGACACTGCTGCACTGTGGTGTGTAATTGATGTCATCTCAGCAGGTGGATTTGTGTAGCTGCCCCCGCGGTGCAAATCCAGAGCTGACCCTTCACCACACATCCCCCGTACTCCTTAGAGTCACAACACCCCCTCTGCCACCAGCCCTAATCCCCAGCAACCACTGATCAGCTCATCATCTCTATGATTTTGTCATTTCTAGGATGTTGTATAAGTGGGATGTAGCCATTTGGGATTGGCTTTGTCCACTCAGCATAATATTCTGGAGGCGCGTCCAGCTTGTTGTGTGTGTCAGTGGTTGGTTCTGTGATATTCCATGGCATACTCACTGTCTCATTTAAGGACGTCTGGGTGTTTGCCAGTTTTGGCTCTTCCAAATAAAGCTGCTATGAACATTCCTTAGATTTCGTGTACACGTTGGTTTTCTTTTCTCTGAGATCCATGTCCAGGAGTGCATCACTCAGTCATGTGATTGTGGGTTGTTGCATACTGACAGACTTCAGAGGGCTGCAGCCCTCAGTGATGTGTGAGTGACCCAGTTTCTCTGAGTTCTTGCTGGCGTTTGGTGTGTTGCTGTTTTTCATCTTGGCCATTTCCGGGAAGAGTGGTTTTCACTTGCATCTCCGTAATGGCCAGTGAATGTCTTTTCACATGTATATTTCACTTCATGACATATCTGTACATGTCTTCTGTCCTTTTCCTATTTTTTTTTAAAAGATTTATTTATAAATACAAGAGCTGGAAATACACTGCTGAAATACAATACTGAAGTACGCTGCTGAGGGGAGCAGTGGGTGAGTCAGGAGGGGTCTGCTGCGCCGTGTGGGTTGCTCCCTGGCCGGCAGGGATTGCAGGGATTGCTGCAGGGGCTGCAGATTGCTTCATAGTGTGGTGCTTAACCCTTGCGCCGCCAGGGAGGCCCTTTTTTCCTATTTTTTTTTTAAACTGTTGAGATTTGACAGTTCTTTGTATATTCTAAATATTAGTCCTTTGTCAGGTTTTTGGTTTGCAAATATTTTCTCCCAGTATGTAACTTATTTTTTCATCCACTTAACCAGGTTTTTCTTTTAATTGAGGTGACATTAGTTTCCAGCATTGTTTGTGATTTAGAGGTATAAGGTCTCCCCCTTTAGGTGTTGTTACCATACCACACCCACCACCCAAGCACCTGTAGTTCATTGTGCTTCCTCCCTGCTTTTTTTTTTAAGTTCTATTTATTGAGGGCCTCCCTAGTGGCCTGGGGGTTAAGCCTCAGCACTATCGCTGCAGCAGCCTGAGTTTGATCCCCCACCAGCAAGCTAACCCACATGTCACAGCAGACCTCTCCTGTCTTGCCCACTGCTCCCCTCAGCAGTGTACTTAGGTCAGTCTGCCTGTTCTGTTCCCCACTCTGTCTCTGGTGAATCCTCTCACCCCCCTCCCCCGCACCCCTGGCCTATACCGCAGTTCTTGTATGCATAAATAAATAAATCTTTTTTTAAAAAGTTATTGAGGTAATGTTGGTTTGTGTCACAGTGAAAGTCTTAGGGGTACAGGTTTACACTTCTACAATTTTATGTTATTTCACCACACCCACCATCAAGCTCCAGTAATCCCCCACTTGGCCTCTCTTTCCCCTTTACCTTCCGTTTCTGGTAGTCTTAGGCATAGTCCAGTGTGCTCTTCCCCCACCTGTTTCCCCCCTCCTATTCTTTCTCCTGGATGTCTCAGATCTATGATCAACTTTCAAAATTTGACCTTTTGTTTGGTTTCTCTGTTCCACATTTAAGTGAGACCAACTAGTATTTCTTTTTCTCTGTATTTCGCTTAGTATAATCCCTTACAGCTCCATCCATGTTGGTGCAAATGACATGAGTTGATCTTTGTTGATCATTGAGTAGTAGTTCATTATGTATCTATACCGTATCTTCTTGATCCATTCATCTAACAGGTTCTCCTATGAACAAAAGTTTTTCTTTTTTTATTTTAAATATAAATTTTACATCATTGTTCCTTTCATATATGTGTGTATATACACACACACACACAGAATGCTTTCTTTTCTCAGGTGTAATCCCCATAGAATTGCCACCACCAGTTCACCCGTGCATCATCACCATATAGTCCCTTGTGTTCTTCCCGCCCTCGCTTTGGTCTCTCGCCTTCCCACTCCCTTGCAGAATGTCTCTGATTTATAGTTGTCTCTTTATTGTTATTTTGTTGTGTTTTTTATTATTCTTTTTTTCCCTTGGTCCCTTATTTGTTTCCCCTATATTCCTCCTATAAGTGAAATCACCCGGTATTTTTCTTTTTCCTTCTGACTTATTTTTCTGAACATGATCCCTTCTAGCTCCATTCATGTTGCTGCAAATGGCATGAGTTTATCTTTTTTGATTGCTGAATAGTTTTTTGATCAAGTCCATTTTACTGATTTTTTTCTTTTATGAATTAGGCGTTTTTGGTTTCATGTCTAAAAACTCTTGTCCTAGTCCTAGATCCCCAGAATTGTTTTTTTCTAAAATTTTTAGTTTCATGTTTCACATTTAAGTCTGTGATTGATTTTGAGTTAATTTTTATATAAGGCATAAGACTTAGGTCAAGGTTTTTTTTGTTTTGTTTTGTTTGCCTATAGATGTCTAGTTGCTCAAGAACCATTTGTTGAAAAGACTGGCTTTCATGTCAAAAATTAGTTGGTACATTTGTATCTATTTCTGGGTTATTTTGCTCCATCTTATCCATCAATAGTACACTGTTTTGATTACTGTAGCTATGTAATAAGTCTTGAAATTGAGTAGACTGATTTCTCAGTTTTCAAGATTGTTTTAGGTATAAATTTTAAGTAATTTACATATACAAATCTTGCCGGGATTTTGTGCTGGAACTGCATTAAATCTGTTTAAAAATTGGGTGAAGAATTGATATCTTTACTGTAATGCATCATTCAATCAGTTAACATGGTATGTCTGTTTCAGCATTTGATATCATTCATCAGCCACTTGTGGTTTTTAGCATACACATCCTTACATCTTTTGTTAGATTTATACCTAAATATTTCATTTTTTAAAGCAATTGTAAATGGTACTACTTTTAATATTGGTGTTCATAGTCATTGCTAGTATGTAGAAATAGGTTTTTGTGTGTTTATCTTAAATGCTGAGGTCTTGTAGAATTCCATTATCCTAAGGGAGTTTTGGGGTAGACTACTTACGATTCCCTATATAAACAATCTGCATAATAATGCCAATACGTGGTCCTACTCCCATGGATTTTGCCTTTACCTGTCTGAACATCAGAACTTTTCAGATATTCCTTAATGATTTGAATTAAGCAGCCAAGGCCAAGAAACAGTGCTCTTTGACTATGTCAATAGTCAATGAGCAGAGGTGCTGTGTGCACAAGAGCCAAGTGCCCAGACCGCCCTTCTGTACTGTACTAATACAGGCTGTATTAATACAGCCGAGCTTGCTTGTCAGGCAGATTGGTAAACAGGCCTGAGCTTTGTTGCTGAGGATGACAAGGCTTTGGGCCTAATGAATTGACCCCTCCCAGCCCAGAACAGACAATGAGGCTGTGTTGGATAAGCAACCAATTTTAATGAACAAAAAATATTGATCTGTATAAAAAGGTAGTTTTGTCTGTCACTTAAGTGTCCCCATTTTCTAGATGGGGAGTTGTCTTCTCCATAGACTTGAATATCTGTTTCTCCTCGGGCCCCAGTGCCAGGTTAGACACTGGCCGTCACCACAGGGCAGGAGCTGCCCAAGTGGAGGAGGGTGTGTGGCCCCTGGTATGGAGCCCTGGTCAGTTTCTTCACATAGTAAGAACAACCCTGTTTTAGGCCTCAGAGGGCCTCTGAAGTTAGACTGAAAAATGATTGCTCCAAAATGGTACCTCATGGACATGAGGGGGGCGAAGTGTCAGCCCATCCCTCAGCCTGTTTCTCAGTTCAGGGCAGAGTCTAAGATTCACTTTCTGGCTTATAAGGACCCAGCCTCGCCAGTAGTACAGGTCTACACCGGTGCAGCTTGAAACATAAAGGACAAGGAAAGAGGAAGGAATCTTTAGAAGAGCCTGTGTAAAGTTGGGTCTTAAAACTGCCACCAATTAGCAGATAGTTAACCCGCCTCTGCTTCCCCGCTGGATGGAGCCCCTCAGTGTCCTGCCTCTGAGGTGGGATAGAGCAGAGCAGGTGCAGCAGCTGCAGGGGCCTGGCAAAGGCTTCAGACCCAGGGCAATATTAGTACCTGAGGCAAAGTAGGGTTACGGGCCACCGCCCCATAAGTTGAGTGGGCCACAAGCAATCCCAGAACCCAGACACACACCCCTACAAGGAAAGCCAGGGGGCACAGGTTTCCCTAAAATAAAGAGGAGCTCCAAATCATTGGTCTTAGGGCCTCTGAGGCAACCAGGTTGGTACTGGGCTTCTGTTGCAGTGGGGCCTCAAACCTGTTGAGCAGCCCCCTCCAGATTACCAGGCCCAACTCCAGAGTCTCTAAGACCAAAGGTATCTAAAGCCACTCCAGACACTACCAGGGTTGCCGCTGATAGGCGTGGAGTCACCTGGAGAAACCCCTGCCCAAGGGCTTTGACCGACTGCAGAAGTGCCTACCCTCTTTATGGCCTTTCAGTTGCCTTTGTAAGTCCCTGGTGGCAGCTGTTAGCCATGCCCTGAATCACCACCTGACAGGAGACCGGCCCTGTCAGGGCAGGGGCGAATCAGTCTCCCAGACTGAGGCTCAGCAGACACCGAGGGAATCTAGCGCCAGCCCATGGTAGCGCGAGGCTTAGAGTCAATTTCTGCTCCATCCTGGGCTCCCATTCTCCATCCTGGTCTGGACCCACTTTTCCTCTTACCCGTGGTCCTCTGCCTCAGCCCCTTAGCTCGAGCCCTGGCAGGGAATGAGTCACCCCTGAGACTTGAAGCCAGGGAGCCTGCTTGTCTACCTGCAGGGTTGGGGCTGCTGCTCAGCCTCCACACAGCTGCCCGGGAGGCCGGAGCAAGCGCCCTCAGAGGAGTCGGGACTGAGGTTAGAACCACAGGGGTGCAGAGGCTTTAGTCATGTAAGGATGGGAGAGGAAGGGGATGGAATGGTGGCTGCGAGTGACCCTGCAGGTCTGCTGTTATCACTAGCATCGGGTCCGGGGGTGCCCAACATGGGCCTGCAGTGCTTCCCGGATGCCCCGCTGCCAGTCCCGAGCCAGCTGCACTGGGGTCATGGAAGCCTGGGGATAAAGATGCTGGGTCAGTTCTTTCCTTCCCCTGGAGTGGCCCACCCACCCATCTCAGGGCAGGGCCCGGCCTGCTCGTCCTCACCACGTTCCGCACACCCAGCTGGGCTCCATAAAGCAGCAGCACCTTCATGGCTCTGTAGTGACCGTGACGTACAGCCTCGTGCAGTGCTGTGTCCCCTTCCTTTGAAAAAGAAGACATCATGCCAACCTCCCGACCTTGGGAAATGACAGGTTGGTGCATGTGACTGGCCCCTAGTAGAGCTGCCCTCAGACTAGAAAGACCAAGCACCTACCTTGTCCTGTGCATTAATCTGGGCTCCACATGCGATGAGGTGCTCCAGGCAGTCACAGTGTCCTGTGCGCACAGCCACATGCAGGGGGGTGCTCCAGATCTATGGGCACAAGCGAGAATTAGCATCACCCCAACCCCAAGGGGCTCGCCCCATCTCAAGGGTATGCTCTCTCCTGGAACAGGGTCCACTCCAGTACACAGCTTGTTTGCCACCAATAGGCCATCCCCACAGCACTGTGGTCCTCACCTTGTCCCGGGCATCAACCTGAGCTCCCTGGTTAAGCAGATGTTTGAGGATGTCCAGGTGTCCTCCACGGCAGGCCCAGAACACAGGTGTCCTGTCCAGCTGTAAAACAAAAGCAAAGTGCTCTGACATGCTGTCAGGCTGGGCAGGGCATGTGCCATGAGGACGGGCCTTCCCCAGTTCTCACCAAGTCCCGAGCGTCCACAGCGGCACCCGCCTCCAAAAGCTTGTTCACAAGCTGGCTGTGACCCTTGAGGCAGGCCCAGTGCAGGGCCGTGCGGTGGAGCTGGGGGTGGAGACAGGAGATTAGGCAGAGGGAACATAGCCCTCCCCAGTGGTCCCACCCAGGGCTGGTTCCCTGACAGCTGCCTGCTCCCCCTTAATGGGTAAGGTCTTCCTCCTGGCTCAGGGGGCACCACAGGACTCTTGCTCAGGAGAAAAAAGTCCTGCAGTTTCCTAGTGCAGTTCCTAGAACACACTGAAGACCACACCCCTGCTGTGGTCCAGTTCACCTGCCACCACCCCCTGCCCCCCACTACCTTGTCATGGGCGTTGGGGTCCCCTCCATCTGCCAGGTACTTGTCAATCAGGGCCTCCTGGTTCTCAGCAGCTGCCTTCAAGAATGCCTCCAGGTCCACAGACTCCAGCTGGGCCTGGGGTTGCTGCTGGGTAAATTGAGGAACAAGACCAAGTCAAGTCACTCCCTAGAATTGTAGGTTTCTATCACAGCTTCAACCAGTGGGGTCTAACCACAGTCTAGCCCAGTGGCTTCTAAAGAGCTGACTAAGAACCAGCAAGCTGTTGGCGTGTACAAATAATAGATTTTAAAGAACCTAACCCAGGAGGGTCTGGCTGAATAGCTATGGGGGTGGGGGTGTATTATGCGGTTGACTAGTGGTCCCCTACAAAGTTTGTATATTTAAGTCTTAATCCCTAATACCTCAGAATTTGACCTTATTTGGAAATAGGCTTTGCCGTGGCTATAATCAGTTACTTGAATAAAGTGTGCCCTGATCCAGTGTGACGGGTCCATTGAAGGGGGACGCTTAGACATGTGGTATATACTGTGTGAAGACCAAGCCAGGGGTGGGGAGGACACACATACAAGCCAAGGAGCACCGCAGAGCACTGCCCGTCACCAGGGCCAAGAGGCCTGCACAGATTCTCCCCCTCAGCCCTTGGAATGAGCCCTGCACCAACCTGATCTGGGACTTTGAGCCTCCAGACCCTTGAAATGATAACGTTCTGTTGTTTAAGCCCCGCAGCCTGTGCTACTTGTTTCAGCAGCCCTGGAAAATGAACTTTTCTGGCAGTTGACTGCAGTTGTGGCCAGCGGTGTCTGGCCACCTTCCCCAAACCCTCCCACGGGGACGGGAAGCTGTCCCTCGTGAGCTCAAGTCCAGTGTCTGCACCCACAACCTCTCACTCACCTTAACCACTGGCTCAGGTGCCTTGGGGGGGACTCTGCGTTTCAGTTTCAGTTTCAGTCGCTTTTCTCTTCGTCTTTGAACCAAGTTTTCCAAGTCAGCCAGAGTCTCTAGGTTAACTCTGGAACTGTTAAATCGTTGTAGCTGGGGCAGAAGAGAAGACCATGCCAGACATCAGCCACTGGTCACGGGCACCTTGGGGAGGCTCATGGTGGTTTCACTTCCCTGCCCATAGGAGAAACCCAGCCGCTTAGGCTGGCAGGCCCTGGGCCCCAAGACCCTCACTGTTCACAAGGACCACTCCAGCCCCAACTCCACACTCACTTTCTTCTTCTTCTCTTCTTCCAGCTTCTGCCTTTCCCGGGCCGCAGCCTCTTGGGGCCCCAGCCTCCAATCACTAGGCCAGCCTCCAGGATCAGGAACTCCATGTCCATATCCCAACACTTTCTTTCCAGCTCCTTCTCCACTTACCTGTAGGAACAGGATAAACAATCAGAAAAATAAGGAGCTGTTAGAAAATATAGGTGTGCGGCACAGGGGAGTCCTGACAGGGTGGACATAACCAAGATTACTTCTCTGGATCTCAGAGCTATAGCTTTGACCCTATAGAATTAAGCTTTGACCCCAGAGAATTAAGCTTTGACCCTTCTCAAAGCTTTCCAGGGTCGGGAGTGTTGGCATGCTCCCTGGTGCCCATGGTTGTTGCTGGCTGCCACCAGCTTAGTGCCTCTCAAAGCCCAGGTGGTGACTTGAGTGCCGCCTATCCTGTCCTATCAGCAGAAACACAGGGTGGGGGCATGACACCACATCTATTTATACTGTTGGGCTTGTGGCCCAGACAGCTCAGGGCAGATGACAGTTCAAATTCCCTCGTGGGATGTTGACCTTATTCCTATCAGATCACACCATAAGTACACCTGACCCCAAGCTCAGCGGAACAGAGGAGATGCATCCTGAATAAAATTCTGAATTCCTAGGTTCAGATCTTGGCACCTCATGAAGCTTCATCAGTGAAGAGGGGTCAAGCTAGCATTTACCTCACAGAGCTGCAAAGATGCAATGAGTCACTGGGACTTGTGCTTGGGACTGGCCCCACCCAACCAAGATCCATTCTTCCCTCCCCTGCGCCCGTCCCCAAAAATTCAGGACCCAGGGAGCATTGGGGAATAGCATGTTAGTGGGAGAGAAGGGTTGGAATGATAGAATGGCAGTGCCTAGGGCTTCTAACCACACGCGACTGTATTTCCTTCCAAAGCAAACTCATAACTGAACATTCCCCGGGCCCAGCAGCCTGTTGTCCAGCAAAGACCCTGCCAGTGGGGGCCGGCTGGACAGTGTTACACCCTCCACTATGCCCTGCCTCACCAAAGCATGCCCAAGACGTCCCTTCCTCTCACTGCCCTGGGTGCACACCAGCAGCCTTCTCCCTCCATCAGGGCAGCTAGAGCCTCTGGACCGTTTCTAGAGCAAGGGCCAGCATGGCAGTTGAGCCATACTTGTGTCTTCTGGGGTAACCTGCCACTCCCTGCTCACCTTCTGCCATCATGGTCTGGGTGGAACTCACTAACTCGGGTTTTCACGTCTACCTTCATCTGACATGTCCCATTTGGTCTCCCTCTCCTGCTCCCTGAGCCCTCACCACTTCTCATGAGAATTAAGCAAACCAGAAAAGAACTGAATGTTTCTGCTCTTGATGCCCGATCCTGAGGTCACAGCCAGAAGCTGCCTACCCTCCAGCCAGCCTCCTCAGTCTGCTGAGATGGTCTTGGGGGTGGGGGATAGCCATCAGCCGACCTCCCACCCCGCGGCTCCAAGTCCTTACCAACTGCTGGATGCTGATGAGGTCCATGGTCCCCCCTGCTCCTCACACCCCCCAGCAGAGGGACTGAGCTGCTCAGCCCTTTTATAGGAGAGCTGTCTCCTGGCAGGCAGGGCAGAGGCTGGCACCTGCGCCAGATAACTCTGTGGCTCTGTAACACCTACCAAAATACCCGTGTGGGCATGCAGCTTGCTGATGGCGGTGGAGCTGTTTTGAGCTGAGTCAGTTGCATCCTCAGACACCCACTATCCTGCACCTGTGCCACCCCCCACACTTAGGGGTAATTTAACCAATAAGCACATGTCTTAGGGTGCCTGGGCCGCTAGCCCAGATCCGGGGGGAATGTTTCCCACTCTTCTAAGTCTAGACACCACTCGTGAAAAGGAGTTGGCTGTGAGTCTCCATATTGCTATTGGTTTGACTACCTGAGCCCCTGACAGACAGACAGTCCAGCTGCCCTAGCAAAAGCCCAGAATGCTAAAGAGGACCCAGGAAGGACAGGCCCAAGAGGCTAACTTCTGCCTCAGGAATCCTCACAGCACCTACATGAGGAAATCAGGCTTCAAGTGATCACCCAGCTCCTAGCAAGTTTCAGGGCTGCCCTCCCTATTCTTGGTGGTTTTCTTCCCCAGGTACCCCTCTCCCTCACCACTTGGCCGATGTGCCAAGTTATACCACCATCAGGAGCCAAGCAGTCTGTTACCAGCACCTTATGTCTCTTGATGTCTTCTGTGCCCCATATCAGGTCCCCTGTCAGATGTGCTTCTGGCAAGGAGTGCCCTTCCACAGGGAAGGTGAGGTGGAGATTCCGCTTGGGCCAAGTACGGAATGTGAACCATTAATCCAATTGCAAAGCAATCCCAAGTCACCAAAGTCAAACATCCCAAATCTCCATAAGGCACCATGCATGTCCTTCACCCAGCTGTGCCCTGAACTCTGCCTTGACCTTTGGAAGGAAATCCGATAGCTAGTAAATAAGACTCCAGGATGAGAGCAACATGAGCAGAGATGACCAGAACAAGAGGGAGGGAGAATTCCAGGTCAAGGACAGCCCAAGGCCCCAAAGGGCTCGCCTGGTCCCCACAGCTGGCTTCTCTGTAAGTGCTTCCAAGTTTTGAGACGTAGGAAACCCAGAGATTTTTAAAGAAATTCAGTCCCTATGCTTCAGGGTGTTTTATATCAAAGATGATTTCTTGCCTTTGGTTATGAGGAAGAGGAGAGGGCAAACAGACAAGGAAAATGAAAACTTTAGCTTTGGACTCTGCTGCCCACCACCGACTCTAAAATTCCTCTCCTTCAACATTCAAAGGTGAGGGCATTTTGCAGCAATAGGCATCAGAAAAGTTATTTCTCCCACGTGAAACTAATTGGGATTACCGCTGACTTATTTAAAAAAAAAAATACTCCTTGTGAAAAATACAAAGTTAGCAAATAAAGCTCAAGACCCCTTGACTAGCCACTCCTGCTGCCCCAGTGGGCCGGGGGTGACCATGGTATACCAGTTTAATAACTACCCTCTTGACTTTTCCTGTGCAGTCTGTGCACGTACACACGTTTCTGTGGACACATTTAGGAGGCATACTGTGACCACACCCAGCAGCCTTTCTCCGTTAGCAGGCCCTGCGCTCAAATGCCGCATGGGCCAGAACTTAGCCTTTCCCCTTTCGGGAAGCAATTAGGTCACTTCCATTTCTGTTTTACATTACACATCATGTTCCTAAGCATGTCTTTGTCAAATGCCTCTGTAAATAAGTATCTTTGCATACATGGATGACTATTCTCTAGGTAGCCATGGATATAGCAAATTAACTCTGCTTGTTTAAACTGGCTGCACCCATTTCCATAAATAGGTATCAATAAAGTGACAGTATGAAAAAGTATATATATAAGCATATGATCAATATCCAGAATGTATAGACAACTCCCATGAATCAATGATAAGGAAAAAAAGTTTAAATAGACAAAGGGCATGGAGAGGTTCACAAAAGACAGGTCTTCAACCTTACTAGGATTCAGCAATGCAAAAGAAAACTTAAAATCTACTGGATTGCTAAGGTGTGTGCCATTATGATATAAAAACAAGTGCTGACTAGGTCTAGGGGAGTAGTGCGCCCATATACTGCTTGCAGTGTGCCAGCACGCCGGCACTCTGGCCCTCTCTCCATATATTCACTTGTTTAATCCCCACCGTGACCTTGAGGGAGGGCCTATTATAATCATTCTCATCTTTTTTTTTTTTTTTTTTTTTTTTTTTGTGGGACCCTCGCTGGCAGCCGGGGAACGAACCGGTGCTGCAGAGGCTGCGGGCCTCGCAGCCCAGCGCTCAACCGCTGCGCCACCAGGGGAGGCCCTCATTCTCATCTTATTGATGAGAAAACAGGGAAGAGGACCCAGTGACTTGTATAAGGTCACTCGGCTAAAAAGCAGCTTTTAATTTGTCATATACTCCATAGTTTCTTCTTATATTTACACAATTTTGTTTTTATTTTTACTTGAAATTTATTTTTGTGCATGGGATGAGGTTAAGATATAACTTTATTATTTCCACAGGAACTACGTAGAGTATGACCATCTGCCCAGGCTTAAGTGCTTGCAGTCCCAACCTAATCAACCCCTCTGTTCCAGTGGCCAGATGGGGCTCTTCCTGGGCCTTCAGGCCTCAGATTCGCACCCTACAGCATGGATGCTGACCACAGCAGGGGCTGGGAGTGCCAGCCTGTGTGCCCTTGCACTACAGCCAGACACAGAGGTGGTGACTCAGCTGGCCAGCAGGTCCCGCATATCACTGTTGTGGGGCAGCAGGTCACATGCTAGTCGTGCCTTCCGATCCCGGACGGCCTTCAGGGCCGGGCTGTGCTGTAACAGGAGCGAGCAAATGTCCATGTGACCCTTCTCAGCAGCCTGTGGAGAGAGAGCCCTGAATCAAAAGTCAGACCCCCACTTTCCTGCTCCATCCACTTCTGGACATATCTTTCTCCTGAAAAAGGTCTCATGGGGCCTCCCCGGTGGTGCAGCAGGTTGAGCACAGCGCTGTGAAGCTGTCCGCAGCCTCTGCAGCACTGGTTTGATTCCCCGCCAGCCAGGGAGAAACCACATGGCGCAGCAGACGTCTCCTGCCTCGCCCACTGCTCCCCTCAGCAGTGGCTTTGGTCCGTCTACCTGTTCTGCTCCCTGCTCTGTCTCTGGTGAATCCTCTCACCCTCCTGTGCCTCTGGCTTGTACCCCAGTGCTTTTAAAAATAAATAAATCTTAAAAGTATATATAAATAAAATAAAATAAAAAAGGTCTCATGAAAGTGGAGACACTGGCTATTGGAGAAGGTTTCCCCTATTTTCTACCAAGTCCCCATGGCTCCCATGCAGACTGGCCGAGTGCCCAGTGCCTAGCTGGTGGTGAGCTTGAGTTGTTCTCTCTTGTGTCCTTTGCTCAGGGGTGATTTCTTTGTCCAGGTCTGCACATTAAAAACCAGTACAGAGGGCCTCCCTGGTGGCACAGGGGTTAAAGACAGCACTATCAAGCTATCTGCAGCATGAGTTCTATCCCCAGCCAGCCAGGGAGTTACCCACATCACGCAGCAGACCTCTCCTGTCTCACCCCCTGCTCCCCTCAGCAGTGTATTTCAGTCAGTCTGCCTGTTCTGCTCCCCACTCTGTCTCTGGTGCATCCTCTCACCCTTCTCCCACACCTCTGGCCTGTAGCCCAGTTTTTGTATGCATAAATAAATTTTTAAAAAATTTTAAAAAACCATCCTGTGGTGAGAAAATCAAGTGGGCAGGAGAGGGATAAACTCACACACATCTACCACAACAATGCATAAACCACTTCTCAAACATACGTAAGAAGTCAGAGAAGAGGTGCCTTAAGGGAGGTGACCTGGAAGACTGAGGGACAAAAGGCCAGGGGTGGAAGGGGAAACTCATTTTCATGATATACCATTTTGTACTCCTCAAACTCTTTACACTGTGCAGGTATTTCTAATCAGGAAAAGTTTGATAATCTTGTTGGCTACAGCATGGAAAGTGGACTACAGGGATAGACAATAGTTCAGAAAACTAATAGCATTGATGACATATCACTAAGGGAAAGAAAAAAATGACAGTCTGTTTAATTCTAATTTACATGCAAAGCGATGACAGGTGAGCACTGACATTACAAGTGAGTTTTATTTTCTACTTTTCTACTATGCTTTTCTGTTTCCTTGTGTTTTCTACAGTGAGCACATCAGAGCTTTCGTAAGGACAGAAGCATATGCTGAGGGGGCAAAGGGCATACCTTATGTAGACTGGTCATGCCATCATCATCAACCAGTCTGGGGTTGGACCCATGCGAAAGCAGAAGCCGTGCAATCTCAGTGTGCCCGCAGTAGCTGGCCCGGTGCAGGGCAGTGGCACCCCCATGGGTTTGGGCATCACACTTCGCCCCGCTTTCCAGTAGGAACTGGCATACAGCATAGTGCCCATTGCGGCTGGCATAGTGCTGCAGGGAACAGAGACTGAAGTCACGCAAAGTCACAGAGCAGAGTCCAGGTGAGTAATGTGTGGTGGACCAAGCGGCCTGGAATCATCTCAAGTGCTACTTGCATTAGCTGTGTCACCTGGCAAGTGTCTTCATTTCTAGCATCAGTTTCCTCAATCAGAGAAATGGGATGATAATCATTCCTACCTCAGAGAATCATTATGAAAATGGAATTAAATAATGGACGTGAAACCCTTACACTAATTTACAAAACCTAGCTTCACGTGATAATTTTTCTCACGGAAATCTTGCTGGGAGAGAAGAAAGCAAAACGTCCATCCCTCCTCAGGCCTGTACCTCCCATTGAGAGCATCTCTCTCATCTGACCCTGTGTTCCTCTCCAGCTCACCAAAGCCGTGTAGCCAGCTGAGTCAGGCTGACTAGGGTCTGCTGCCTTCTGGATTAAATACTTCACTCGACCCAGATCTCCATTCAGGGCTGCTGACCAGATTCCTGTGGAAAGACGACCAAAGTAATGAATAATGCTGAACATCTGGGGACATTTCCATGCCTCTTTTACCTCTAATTTTTTTTTTTAATTTTTTTTTTTTTATATAGACGCATGTTTTACTTATTTATTTAATTGTTTGTTTTGTTTATACATGCACTGGGTACAGTCAGAAGCGCGGGAGGGTGAGAGAATTCACCAGAGCCAGAGCGGGGAGCAGAGCAGGCAGAAGGACCGAAGTACACTGCTGAGGGGAGCAGCGGGCTGCAGGAGAGGTCTGCGCGCCATGTGGGACCCTCCTCTGGTGGCCGGGGAGCAGCCGGGGATCGAACCGGCGCTACAGAGGCTGCGGGCAGCCTCGCAACCCAGCGCTCAACCGCTGCGCCACCGGGGAGGCCCTTACCTCTAATTTTTAAAAAAGATTTATTTATTTATTTATGCATACAAGAGCTGGGGTGTAGGCCAGAGGTGCGAGGGGCGGGGCGTGGTGAGAGGATTCACCAGAAACAGAGTGGGGAGTAGAACAGGTGGATTGACTGAAATACACTGCTGCGGGGGGCAGCAGGTAAGACTGAAGAGGTCTGCTGCGCCATGTGGGTCAGCTCTCTGGCCAGGGATCAAGCTGCAGTGGCTGCCTTTAGCTTCATGGTGCTGAAACTTAACCCCTTACGCCACCAGGAAGGCCCTTACCTCTAATTTAGAAGACATACACACACCCCTAAGTTCATTGCATTTATATATACAATCACCCACAACCTAACTGTCCAACAGATGACTGGATAAGAAGACGTGGCATATATATGCAATATATAATACTGCTCAGTTATTTTTAAAAAAGATGTTGCAGATCCTGCCATTTGCAACAACATGGATGAACCTAGAGTGTATTATGCTTAGTGAAATAAGCCAGATGGAAAAAGATAAACACAATATGACTTTACTCTTACGTGGTATATAGAGAACAAAACAAATAAATGAATAAAACAAACTTTTAAACTATAAGACCAAAGTATTGCGGGCCTCCCTGGTGGTGCAGGAGTTAAAGACAGCACTATCAAGCTATCGGCAGCCACTGCAGCACGAGTTCAATCCCAGTGGTCAGGGAGCTGACCCACGTGGCGCAGCAGATCTCTCTTGTCTCTCCCTCTGGTCCCCTCAGCAGTGTATTTCAGTAGATCTGCCTGTTCTGTTCCCCACTGTCTCTGGTGAATCCTGTCACCACTGCCCCCACCTCCCCGGACCTCTGGCCTCCACTGCAGTTCTTGTCTTGTTTGCATAAATAAAGAAATCTTAAAAAAAAAAAAAAAAAAAAAAAGACCAAACTGTTGACTACCAGAAGGGAAAGGAACTGAGTGGGGTGGGGTGAGTAAATCAGATAAAATGGATCAACTGTATGGAGGACGTAAGTGGACTTTTCGTGGTGAACTTAATGTGCTATATACAGACGTGGGCTTATAATGACACATGAAACTTCTATAATGTTATAATGCAATGTTACATCAAGGAAAGACCAAAAAATGAAAGTCCTATAGGAATGCCTCCATAAGCCAAATGGCAAATTACATGTCTCAAAAAATAGCCATTATAACACACTCTAAAAGAGCATTTAATGTGTTCACATAGATGAAGGAATGGAAAACACAAATCAACAGAACATTAGGGTTAAAAAAAAAGATCTGAAATCAAAGTCAGTAAATTAAAAAGTGGAATCATTCAAATAAAGCAACAATAGATGGTTGACAGTTACTGCAGACGCAGTTGAAGAGAATTAATGATTTGGAAATCGCCCAGAATGCAGAGTGGTAAAGAGAAAAATATTCAAGCGGTAAGAAACATGGAAGACAGAATGGGGCAGCATAATGGGGGTTCCAAAACTAGAGAAAACTAGAAACTAGACACACAATGGCAGATAGGCAGTATTTGGGAAAACATCTGAAAATTATCCAGAAGTAAAAACAATGAATCCTCAGATGATTAACCACATTAAATCCCAACTAGGGTTAATAAAACCAAATCTAGGCCCTCCCCGGTGGCACAGCGGTTGAGCGCTGGGTTGCGAAGCTGCCCGCGGCCTCTGCAGCGCCGGTTCGATCCCCGGCTGCTCCATGGCCACCAGAGGAGGGTCCCACATGGCGCGCAGACCTCTCCTGCCGCCCGCTGCTCCCCTCAGCAGTGTACTTCGGTCCTTCTGCCTGCTCTGCTCCCCGCTCTGGCTCTGGTGAATTCTCTCGCCCTCCCGTGCTTCTGACTGTATCCAGTGCTTGTATAAACAAAAAACCAAACAAACAAACAAATAAATAAATAAATAAAACATGCCTCTATGGGGAAAAAAAAAAAAGTTACCACAAAGAAAGGATCATTGAAGAGTAACCATCAGATTATCAGCAGACTTTTTTTTTAAAAAAAGATTTTATTTTTTTATTTATACAAGCACTGGGTACAGTCAGAAGTGCGGGAGGGTGAGAGAATTCACCAGAGCCAGAGCGGGGAGCAGAACAGGCAGACTGACAAAACGCACTGCTGAGGGGAGCAGTGGGCACAGCAGGAGAGGTCTGCACTCCAGCAGACTTTTTTTTTAAAGATTGATTTATTTATGCATACAGGAACTGGGGTACAGGCCAGGGGGGTGAGAGGATTCACTAGGGACAGAGGGAAAAGTAAAATGAATCTAGAAAGACGACATGATTTGAAGAAAAACCAGTTCACACACAAAAAGAGACAATAAATGAGTCAGCACACAATAAATGCAGTTTGTGGAAAATGCTTTGATGAAAGTAAGGGATATATCAAATTAAGCTGAGAGGTAAGGGACCCGCTTTGGTTAGGACAAGGTTTCTTTCTCAACAAGCAGCACAACTGACATTTTGGGCCAAATAATTCTTTCTTATGGGGAGCTGTCTGCAGCAACCCTGGTATCTACTTACTAGTACAAGCCCCGTGTGGCTGAAGTATATGATTGGAGAAAGAAAAGGATGAGAAATAAAATGAGGACAAAGAAGAATTAGATCATGCAGAGTTTTGTAAACCATATGGGGGATCTGGATCTATTTTAAAAGCAGAGAAATTATCTAATTCAATTTATTTATTGAATTTCACTTATTTATTTTTATTTTACACATTTTTTACATCATTTTTCATTTTTGCACAATGTATGCATTTTCATCGCCATACAATTCCCACCACCCTTGTTTTGATCCTACTCCCTCCTCCCTCCCTGTAGTGTGTCCCTGGTTTATAGTTGCTTGTTGATTTTGAATTTTACTTTATTATAATTAGGTTTTTTCCTGGTCCCTTATTTAGGTTTTCTAAATTCCTGCTCTGAGTGAGACCATCCGGTATTTTTCTTTTTCTTTCTGGCTTATTTCGCTGAGCATGGTTCAATAATTTCAAAAGGTTCCTCTGGCTTCTGTGCATGCAGAGTGGAAAACACCATCAGAGGGGAAAGCTGCAAGAGAGAACTACTTCAGTAGTCCAGAGGATGGCAGTGGGGGCAAGTCAGCAGGAGCAAGAGCCACTTTCTAGAAAGCTAAGCGGGAATGCCCAGAAAGCAGCAGCATCTACCCCACACCCGATGACAGCCTCAGAACTGGACCAGCCACTGCTGCGCTGAGGCCACCGGAGAGTGCCCTGTCTGGGCCTGGGAGGTAGGGAGAACATCACCTGCCTCCAGGGCCATTTCTTCCACAGCTAAACCAAGTACCCGGCCCGACACCCCCCCACACCCGGGGTTCACGGAGCGCAGCTCCACCAGCCAGGGTGGGGGTCAGATTCGGCTCCCCGGCCCCTCTCCACACCCGAGCAGGCCTGGGTCTCCCAGGGTCTCCCGGGCAGGTACCGGGCCGGTCCCGCCACTGAGGGAACTTACCGAAACCAACACCTCAGTTTCCCTTCCTGCCGAGCTCGTGCCAGGTCCCTGGCGGGCTCTGGGCAGCGCGAGGCCCGGGGCCAACCGCCCGCAGGCGCTGCCACCAGGCCAGAGGCCGGGGTGCGGCCGGGCCGGCCCCCCGCTCCGGGCGCGCCCGCTGTTCCGCGGTCCTGGGGCGCGCCGGACGCCTCCCGCCCGGGCCCGCCGGCCCCCCGCCCCTCACCCCTCTCGAAGTCCATCTCGTCCAGCGTCTGCTGCACGCCGGCCACCGCTCCGGGGCGGGGGCAGCAGGGGCCGTCGGCGCAGGGACCCGGCGCCGCCATGTCCGCGTCCGTCCGCCCACCAGCTGCCGGGGCGCGGCCTCGGCGGGCGGGGCGGGCGCGCTCGGCGGCCGCGGTTGTCCCCGAGTCCCGCGACCCGCCGGGCCGACCAGTCGAGCGTCCAGGCCTCGGCGCGAGAGCCAATGGCGGCGGCGGGGCGGGGCTTGTGGCGCCGGGGCGCGTCCCGAGGCGGCCGCGCGGGGGCGCCCTGGGCTAAGCGGAGCCGCGCGGGCAGGGCGCGGGCAGCAGGCGGGCAGGGCGCGGGCAGCAGGCGGGCAGGGCGCGGGCAGCAGGCGGGCAGGGCGCGGGCAGCAGGCGGGCAGAGTGCGGGCAGCAGGCGGGCAGGGCGCGGGCAGCGCGGCCTGGAGCGCGCCGCACTGGCCGGACCTGAGCCCTCCAGCGTCCCCGGGCAGTCCCTGTCCCACGGGGCGCCCCGGAGCAGGGAGGCATCTGGCGGGCGCCGAGGACCTTCACCTCCTCTGTGCAGCACCACCCTGGCCCAGGAAGCCAAGGGGTGGCAGCGCAGTGACCCCTGCAAAGCGCTGCAATTCTAGGCCCAGCGACACCCTCCCTCTGGCTCCTGCTTGTTTCTTGAAAACCGGTGAGAGGCAGGTGGTCACAACCTGCCTGGCCAAGGACAAGGCCTTGGGTAGTGTAGAACCCATCAACCCCGCAGTGGGTGCAGTTTATTGAAGCAATCCTCATAATATGTGGAAATACCTTTCAGGCTGTTTACTATTTATGCAGGAAAAGCAGTATAGTTAGCAGAGCCCAGTCCTCACCTGCAACTTTAGGCACCCAGGACAGCCATCTAGTCCAGTTACAGCAGGCGCCCTAGACCTGTCAAGTGTACAGGATACCTAACTCCTGCCTCTATGGGAATGAATTACAGCATCCAAGCTGGGTCTCAACTACTTGATAGGACAGTGGGTGGCAGTGGGAAGCTTGACCCCAGCATTCCCAGAGGGGAGAAAGATGCAGTGTAATCTTCCTCCCCTGCGCTAGTTGAAAGCCCATCCTCACACAGCCTTCAACTGCTGCTAGGAAGTTTGCCTCCTTTGGTCCCCTCCCTCCTACTTCCCCTGCCCCGGAGTTCTGGGAAGCCAGCCCTGTCCTCTCCAGCCTGGACTCCCAATGCCCTGACTTCTCCCTTTGGCCAGAAGCCAGGCTGGCTCCCAAGAGGCTGTGGCCCTGGTCTGGTTCCCAGCCCCACAGCCATCACTGTGGGAAAATACTAACGCCTGGTTGCCCCCTCCTCCAGAGGGGCATAGGCAGACGGGACGGGACGGGAGGGGCAGCTGCCTGGGAGGTTGGGGGAAAGCAGTCCCGTCTCACTCAACCCACAGGGAGGCCTTTCCTCTTGGCACCCAGAGATTTTAGTTCAATGTCTTACCCCCATCAGAGTTTCATTTTCTTCATTTTATTTGACAATATAAAAATAATCAAATATTTACAACAAATAAATACGCGGGGACACAATAAGTTACACTGTTAGGAGCCCTCCTCCTAGGGCTGGGAGAGGCTATGCCTCTAACCACAGCATGCCCACCCTGTCCTTTCCCCTCCCCTTCCCCCCACACAACCTTTCCCAGCCCTGTAAAGGAGGACAAGTATAAAACACCACTGAACCCCAAGGCCAAGTGGGAAGCCCCTCCCACCCTTCCCCCAAAACACGCAGGAGACTCCATCTCCCTCCCCCCACCCTGAAAACATTCACAGCCCTAGGAGCAGGATTAGGCCCACCCCAGGGCCTTGCACTCCTCCAGAGGGGCACACACACTGCCCAGCCCACCCCCATATGTACATCACTGCCCTCCAGGGACAGATGGGGGCAGGAGAGGCAAAGTGATGCAACCCCTTCCCCTTCATAGCTCCAATGGCTCACCAGGAAGACCCTAGGCCAAGGGAAGACGTGACAGAAACAGAAAGAGTATGTCTCTCTCTCACTAGCACGCACGTGTGCAGACACGCAAACACAAACACACACACATACACACACACACACACACACCCTCCCTCTAATTTCTGCCTTGTTACGTTTTGGCTGCTGGGGTCCCATGTGTCCATGATTCACAGCCCCTCACAGAGAGGAGGAAGAGGCCTTCTGTGAGGCTGGAGCCCTGGTGAGCCACACCGAGTGGCAGTGCCCGTGCTGAACAGAGCAGGTCCTCATGGCCGGACGGGTGCTGGGCAGGGCGTGTCCCAGGCAGAGCAGGTGCCCGCGCCATGTCCCTGAGGTAGCTGGTGCCTGTGCAAAAGTAGGGGCTGTATATCCCACGCTGCTGCCGCGGGGGCGTCCCCTCATACTGACGACTCCTCGGGGTTGGAGTCCGGCAGTGGCTGGCGCTGCTGCAGTTTGCGCCTCAGTTCGTCAGCGAGCTCGGGCAGGGGGTGCCCCAGCCCTGCCCGGTCCTCCCCTCCTAGTTGTAAGCGCACATAACCGTTGGCGTTTGAGTTCCTCCCACCCCCCAGGTGAAGTCGAGTTGGAGAAGGCAGGGGCTGACCAGGGATGCCAGGAGGTGAAGAAGGGGGCCCACCTCCGGGCTGGCACCGGGCGTGTCCAGGCACAATCTTGAGGGAGCCGTCTGAGTAGTAGTAGCCAACAGGATCCCAGAGTTTCTCATCTGTCTCAGGGCCAGGCCGGAAGGGGGGGCTGGTGGGTTCCTTGGGCAGCTCCAGGGGGTATACCAGGGTCCTCTCGGCCGCCTTGGCACCTTTTTCCAGCTCCTCCCGCAGCCGCCGGCGCAGCGACAAAACCAGAAGCAGCAATACCAAACACACGGCTCCCAGGGCCACCACCGCCAGCCACACCAGCCCCAAGTTTTCCAGAGGGGCCCGGGCCTCCAGGGTCACCGATGGGCCAGCCACCACAGCCACCAGGTAGCCTTCGGCAGCCAGCCGTGCCCCCTGCTCCTCGGAAAAGCAGTGGTAGGCCCCAGCATGGCGGGGCTGGGCAGCCATCACGACCAGGGCCTGCAGTCGGGCATCGTAGAGGAAAGAGCCAGGTTGTTCTGCAGGCAGGTCTCGGCCCCCAAAAGTCCAACGGGCGTGGGCCAGGTTGGAAGAAAGGCGGCAGGGCAGCACCAGATCTGTGCCCGCCACCACTGTGATGTTTTTGGGCGTGAGCCTGACTGCAGCGGAAGAGGACAGGGAGGAGAGAGTTAGTTCAGAGAAACCCAGGGCAGAGGGAGGTGCAGACCCTCTAGGGTCCATCCCCCTGGAGGGGGTGGGGGCAACAACATAAGACAGCTCACCTTTCTTATTGCCACGGAGGTTACAAATGCCTGAGGAGTCTGAGACCGCCACATGCTGGATCAGTGGAGAGCTGATGGGGGAAGCAGGACCCATCAGCACCCCAATTCCAACCATTCTGTCCTTCCCTCCTGAGGCCCCACACAGGCAGAGAGCCCCACTCACCCAGGGTGGCCACCCACAGCCACACAGCGGCTGGTGTTGACACTCCAGGCACAGTAAGGGTCCCGAGAAAGGACACAGTCTGCACAGGAGCGGTACTTCATGCAGTCAGACAGGGGCAGCTGCACCAGCTGAGAGCGGGAGCCGGCAAAGAGCAGCTTCTGCAAGACAAGCGGCCCGAGAGGCAGGTGAGTGGGGCTGCGCCAGAGGACAGGCAGCCAGGCAGCGCTCAAGTCCCGCAGAGGAAGATCTTTGGACCAAAGAATGCACGGAGGGCTTCTGTCAGCTAGAGGCAATCCTAAGCATCTTACAGACATGACCTTATTAGAAAGAAAGCTGAGGGCCTCCCTGGTGGCGCAGCGGTTGAGCGCTGGGTTGCGAGGCTACCCGCGGCCTCTGCGGTGCCGGTTCGATCCCCGGCTGCTCCCCGGCCACTGGAGGAGGGTCCCACATGGCGCGCAGACCTCTCCTGCCGCCCGCTGCTCCCCTCAGCAGTGTACTTCGGTCCTTCTGCCTGCTCTGCTCCCTGCTCTGGCTCTGGTGAATTCTCTCACCCTCCCGCGCTTCTGACTGTGCCCAGTGCATGTATGAACAAAACAGACAAACAAACCAGCAAACAAATAAATAAAGCATGCCTCTATTAAAAAAAAAAAAAATTTGAAAAAAAAAAAAAAGAAAGAAAGCTGAGTTGTTAGGCCGAGAACCATTATCTCTCCCTCCCCCTCTCTCTCACACGCACACACAACTCCCCTACAGTACAAAGAGGGCAGGAAACATGTTGTCCTCAAGGCCAGCCTCACAATAGCGCCAGCAAAGCATAAGGTGTTTTCCTCCATGGAATGGCGATTGCCCATCCCCGTATTGTTCTCTCAACCAGACTCCCTTTCTGCCATGAGTCTCTGTCCTGGTGAATAATTTGAGCCACAGTAGTTGGTAAAGGTGGGCACGTGAAAACTCAGGGTGGCCACACACTGCCACGAGGGGAGATACAAGCAGCACTTCAAGAAAAGGGTGAGGGAGGTGGAGGGTCGGCGCAGGCAAGGGGCTGGAGGGCAAGGGGCTGGCGGGGAAACCGACATAACAAATGGAGTTCCAGGGGCTGCCACCAGCCGCACCCTCAGACGAGGCCCCAGCAGGAGAGCACGGCGCGACCTCCAGGGGTCTGAGGACTACGCAGATGAGCTGCCAAGGCCGGATTCTGGGAAGGCAGCCCCACAGGGAGCTGGCTAAATATAACTACTGCGGAGCGCAGATCCCGTTCGCGCGGATTTCCTGGAATTGCCCCAAGTCAAGCGGGGTGCTCTAAGCGCCCTCTCACTCTGAACTGGCCGAGTACAGGAAAGAGGACCCGGACTTGGACGGGACAGTGGCAGGTGGGGCCTCAGTACTACCTTGCTCCGGGACAGGACCAGGCTTTCCACAGGCTCCTGCTCAAACACCTGCAGCTCCTCAATCAGGTGGACCCAGGGCCCCAGACTCACGGCCTTGAGCAGCCAGCCATCTCCTGGGGGGGTTAGGGAAAGAAGGGTTTAAATTTGAGAGCATGAGGGCCCTGGGGCATCTCCAGATTTCT